CGAGCTTCGTGGCAAAAAGAAGAATCAGCTAAAAGATGACTTCATTATAGATGGAACTAGAGTAATTTGTAGGCGGACAATTGCAAACAAATTCAATAGTTACTTTACATCTTTAGCTAGTAATTTAAATGAGAAGGTTTTGTCCGAGAACCAACTGTCTATCCAACCAATGCAATCATTTGTTGAGTTTATGTCGAAATCAGTCAACAGTTCAATACATCTAGAAGAAACTCATCCTGAGGAGATTCTTGAAATAATTCAAGAATTCGTTAACGGAAAAGCCAGTGATATACCAATAGCAGTTATCAAGAAACCGGCTCATCTCTTATCCAACATATTAGCAATTTTGTATAATACATGTATTCAAAAAGGCACGTTCCCATCCATATTCAAAATAGGCAAAGTAACTCCTATCCATAAAAAAGATAATAAAGAAAATATTGAAAATTATAGACCTGTGTCAATATTGCCAATCTTTGGTAAAATATTTGAAAAAATAATATACAAACGGCTTTATACCTTTTTCACTGCTAATGACATTCTCAGTAATGAACAATTTGGTTTTCGAAAAGGCCACTCAACCTCACATGCACTCCACAAATCAGTTCATTCAATCACAACATCAACATCCAGTGGTAATCATGTTCTAGGAATCTTTATTGACCTAAGCAAAGCTTTTGATACTCTTGACCATGGCATTCTCCTGAGGAAACTGGAAAATTATGGGGTTAGAGGTCTAGCTCTAGGACTTCTAAAAAGCTATTTATCCGATAGATCACAGTATGTTTCATTTCTCAACACTACATCAGAGACTATGAATGTAAAATATGGAGTTCCCCAAGGTTCCATACTAGGCCCTCTACTTTTCTTATTATATATGAACGACATAATAAACTGTTACAAAGGCGATGAATGCAAATTTGTGCTCTATGCTGATGACACAAATATATTTATCACTGGACCGTCCAAAGAAGCAACATACTTGAAGGCCAATAAAGTTCTTGATTTCGTATGCAAATTCATGAGAAGTAATCTCTTACATATAAATATGTCTAAATGCTGCTACATACATTTTCTACCTGCATACGAATCTGATGAAACCTGCGCCAGGGTTAGGCCGTATGCCAATGAACATGACAAATCACAAGGAATATTTATAAATGGACACAAAATTGTCAAGGTTAGCAACACCAAATTTCTTGGTGTAGTAATTGATGAAAAACTTAGCTGGGGCCCACATATAGAATATCTAAGAAAAAAAATTAGATCCACTACAGGAGCACTTAACAGGATTAAACATTCAGTTCCAGGGGAACACTACCAAAAAATATACTCTGCATTATTGGAATCACATCTTGCTTACGGAATAAGTGTTTGGGGCTCAGCTCTCAAAGACCAACCAAACGATAAGCTGTTCATAACTCAGAAACGTTGTATAAGAATCCTTTTTGGAGACCTAAATGCATACCTCGACAAACATGCCACTTGTGCACGAGCCAGACCTTATACAAAACAGAGGTTAGGAGCTGCTTTTTTCGAAAAAGAGCACACCAAGCCCATTTTTAATCGACTAAAATTGCTTACTGTTCAAAACTTGTACAAATACCACTGTATATCTGAGATATTTCGAATTATGAAATTTCGCACTCCATACTCGTTGTATTGTACTATAGACTCATCAAAACGTGATACAAGCAATGTCATAATCCTCCCAAGAAAAACCAACACTTTTCTTTATATAGCCTCCAAATTGTGGAATAGCATACATAAACGGATTCTAAATGAGAATGGGGAAATCCTCACTACTTCTGTAGCTTTGGTTAAATTACGCTGTAAAAGTATCATCCTGGGATCTCAATCCATCAACAATAATAACACCTGGACTTACCACAACTTTCACATCGCCCCTCACTCAATCACAGACCAAACCATTTCATCACTCACTCACCAAATTGCCGACCCAATATCTATTGAAGTGGCGAAAATTTTCTAGACAAATGATATTTCGATATTATTGCTGCAGCAGATACAAATACCAACATTATTATATTCCCAAACGTTTGAACCTTTAAATTAACTAGGAAAGTCAATCCTCAACTTGACTTTTACTGTTTTAAACAGATATGATGATATTAACTTAATTTATTATTATTATTATTATTATTTTTTTTTACATACTCCTTCTTAGTGTGGTGACTTGGGGTCCATAAATATAACAATACAAGCTGATAAACCAAAAAGAACAACTGGGGTAGGTAGGTAGCCCTGGTGGGTGCGTAAACTTTACGGTCTGCTCTCTCCAAGATCAGCCTGCTTCTCCATTTTACCGTGAAGCCTAATTTCTAGTTTTTATAAAATATACAATGCAAGTGCAGGTTTACTAATCTTAATCTACTTAACAACTCGATAGCCCAGGTCACCATACCCGTAGTATATTCCATGGTAATAGAAGAGCTTTAAAGTTTTTCAAATTGTTGCTATAATTGATTTAAATAAAAATTTGTTGTTTTCTTGACCTTACCCACCATGATCAACAAAAGTTACTAGTTTTGACGTACCTTACTCGCCAAGTTCACTAAAAGTTACCAGTCTTGATTACCTTCATAACCATGAATCATGATAACTAACAAGAAATGCGGCCGCTTTTCTTTTGTGGATGGCCGCTCAATTTCCCGATCTGTGATGGAGTATTTGATCATATTCCATACCACCTGGGGACCCCAGTCTTCACTGTTTGTAAGCATGCAGATATGGCGGAGTGACAGGCCGAGCGCCGCCCAGTTGATATAATTCCATATTTAATTTGAAAATCGTGTATATTTCTATGTAACCATATGTTTATTGTTTATGCAACCTGACACGGATCTGTGCAAAATAGTAATACTAACTCAAAATAATAATACTATGCTATCAATTAGTCTCTAGCGGGATGCGTACATGGTGAAATTAACAATGTACTTGAACATTTCAGCACCGCGCGCCAACAATTGTTTAATTCAGATTTTTGCGCAAAATTAATTTGCGCAGGCAGACACGTGGGCGACACGTACGCAGGCATGCACGGTTGCAAAGCTACCATATCCCAAAAAAAACCTCGATCGCTAACCCTTGTCCTTGATAAAGCTTTGATAAGACCTCATCTTGAGTATTGTGTCCAATTGTGGAATCCAGTTGTGGCTCATGGAAGTTGGGGGACTGTTTTGGAGCTGGAGAGCGTCCAGAGGCGGTTTACCCGTCTTGTTGATGAGGTGGGTACTCTTCCGTACAGCTGCAGACTGGATATCCTCAATTTGACAACGCTGGCAGAGCGGCGAATACGTGGGGACCTTATCGAAGCTTTTAAAGTAACTAGTGGTTTGACTGAATATGGATCGGGTTTGTCACTGACACCATCACCCGGCAACCAATTTTAAAGTAAAATTTATTATCAATCTGACAACGTTCCCCGTATAGTAGCTCAACGGAGGGGGTAATCAGGGCACGTGTTAATGAAAAATGTACGTGTCCTTCCACAATCCCTTCTGTTGGGTCACACGTTATTGGGAACTGAGATCGCTATCGTGTAACTAGAAGCAGTATATGCAAAGTAACTTTGGTGATAGGTGATAGGCAATATGAAATTACACATCTTACTTTAACTTTATCCTGTCACCCATGGACTTATTAATTAACGGCTGGTGGTGGTGTCATCGTTCGTCGTACTCAAAACGTTTCACGGTTGCGAATGCCGGCCCATCGAGGAAAATCTTTTTACTTTGTATTCTAACCATTATAAAGTATGATTAGTCGGATATAGTACTGAGTTCAAACAGTCCCCTGAAACGAAAAAGCAATCATTTGATTTTTGTTTCGGCGACTGAATCGTTGATGGGCCGGCAAATATTTGTTGTCGAGTAGTGTTGAATACTCATATTAACATGATTATTGATTTAATTTAGGAATTGTATATAACTATCTTTGACCAAGTTTAATTGTTAATGAGAATGCACCCCAGCACTGGTGACTGGGCGCGCGCGCGGCAGCTTTGATGTTAGCGGCTAGAAGCTTGAAGCTAGGCAGCTGCAGAAAAACGCAGCGCGCGTTCACAGTTCAGCGTACGGCTTTTCGTTTTTGATTTTACAAATGACAAAGCAACTTTTAATGATTATTAATGGAATTATCGGATATTTATAATTCAATATGTATTGATTCTTCTGTGGAAAATAAAAATTGTATTTTACTTAAAAAAATTGTATTTTACTTGTTCAGAATGAGCAGATCTGGTCTTAATCTAGTTTCAACCAATAGGTGTAATAAGAGTGTAACTAAAGTTAAGAATCTCCAGTCTTCTTTTCTTCCGGAGCGAGTCATTCCTTACTGGAACAAACTCCCTTCAGATGTCAAGAACTGCTCGACAGTTTTAAGCTTTAAAGTTAGATTGGAAGGATTTAAGAAAGAAATGATTTCTAAAAACAGTGTAAATGATTTTTATTTTTGGAATGTTTCGAATGAAGTTTTAGGGAAAATTGAAGGACCCAGTTATTTAAGCAATAAGGAGACACATAATGAATATCTTTGGTTTCATCCTTTTGTGGCAAAGAAGCGTTTTATAAATCTTTATTCCACTGGGAAGTATTAATGAATTATTTATAGATAATGTATTAGATTTTATTAATTAATAAAATTGAATTTGATAAATTATTAATGTTGATGGAAAAATATATTTATTTAAATTATTTTTTTATTTAGTGCGGTGATATTTTGTAGACACTTGTGATGATGTTATGTCATAATCTTTACTTACTTACTTACTTACTTACTTGACTCTTTTGTGCCTTCGGCACTTTGAGTCATGGATCGGGAAAAAATAACCAGTTTTGCTGTATCTTATTCACCATGTTCACAAAAAGTTACCAGTTTTGATGTAGCTTCCTCACCATGATCACTAAAAGTTACCAGTTTTAATGTAAATTTCCTACTATTTTTGTTTCTTTACATCCTCTAATGGTGGGAGTGCTCTAATGGTGGGAGAGCTCCTCAAGTATGGTGGGAGTGCGCTATGTGTCCATTACGCCAAAATCATCAACACCTGCTCTGAAGAGAACCTGTTCCTTGACGCTGTCGGAGAATGTTTCATCACCCCTCTTCAAAAGCCTGGCAAGACTCCTGGTGAACTGAAAAGCCTCAGACCCCTGACATTATGTAACTGTGCTCGTAAGCTGCTATCCCTCATTACACTCAGGAGAATTGAAGCAAAGGTAGATGCTTACACAGCTACAGGTCCATGGCAAGCTGCCTACAAGCAGAAGAGAAGCTGTGGAGACCTGGTATGGTGTCACCGTATGTTGATCAGCATCGTAAAAGAAAGAGAGTGGTCTTTCCACAAGATGGGCCTAGACATGTCCAGTGCCTTCGATACTATCAGTAGGCAGCCTGTGCTCAACGACGCAGGTTGCACAAGAGATGAGATCAGACTAGTGAGATTCCTCCTGAGCAACACCAAGATCAAGGTGCGAGTCAACGACGCTACCTCCCTTGAATTCACCAGCACCAATGGAGGACCCCAGGCCCAAGGTGATAGTGTTTCAGGCCTCTGTTTCACACTCACTCTAGCTGGTGCCTGCTACCACCTGCATGCCGTGATGCTGCGCCCAACCCCTCCTATAAGCCCTAGCGGCATGCCTGAAGAAGATGCCTACTCTGATGACATCGACTATCTTGGTGCAGACAAATATGCTCTAGAAGCTCTCCTCCCTATCGCTACTAAGGTGTTCAAAGAGTGGAATCTGAATATTAATGAATCAAAGACAGAGTTTGTACACGTCTACATAGCTGGGAAAGATGAGGTCATGGATGATGGTAAACCCCTTAAAATGAATGAAGAATGGTGCAGTAGCAAGTTGTTGGGTTCTCTGCTAGAAAGTAGGAAAGATGTCACCAGAAGAATCATGTTAGCCAATGTAGCATTCCAGAACTTCAAGAAGGTCTGGTGCCAGAGTAAGATCCCCCTACAGAAGAAGCTGATGGTCTATGAGGCCCAAGTAGTATCTATTCTCATGTATAACTCTAGTTGCTGGGGAATGCCTAAATCGTACTGGGACAACTTAGATGCATGTCACCGTAACCACCTCAGAAAGATCATGAATGTCAGCTGGCCACGCAGTATGATGTCCAAAGATACCCTCCACAAACAGAGTAACTCTACCCCTATGTCTGAGCGTGCTGAGTTATCTAGGTGGAAGATGCTAGGACACATACTGAGGAGCGATGAAAGATCACCAGCTCAAGCTGCGCTGTGTTTTGCTGTCGAGATGTGTAGTGAAGTTGGTAGACTCGGGGCTCACAGACGTAACCTCCTACACCACCTGAAGGTTGACCTCTGGAAGCGTTTCATCTTGCTGGAGTCGTATGATGATATTCTCCATTTGAGAGAACTTGCTAGTGACCGTGGTTATTGGAGTAAATTGTTCAATTTTATACTTGAGTACAAGTCAATTTGACTTTTGGGACATATAATCTTACAAAGGATCACGTTTCGGTTCTAAATTATTTTAGGATTGTTGACATTTGTAAGATTGACATGTTTGATAATAATAATAATAATAACTACATCCTCTAAATCGGAGTTAAAAACTAAATATTGTTTTAGAATTATGACATAAGGTCAAAACTGTAGCTAGAAGTCAAATACGTATACTCATTGGAAAATGGCGAATAAATAATGAAAAATATAAAAATTTACAATTTTGGACTATTTACAATTTTGCTCATAGAAGAATAAAGTTCTTAAGGTATATTATCATATTGTGACTTTAAGTCACAATATTCCTACACACTCCCTCACCCTTTTATATTCCCACCTACTCCCCTACCCTTTTATATATTGAAATACGTCCCCTCCCTGTATTTTCAGACATAATGTTATCTAACAATAGTATCGCAATTATGTATCATTACATGTAATTAGATGTATATTATATACACTTTATCTCTCCTAGCCCATGACTCTTAGACTTGCTATTGGTTAGCAAAGGACGTTCTTAACCAATAGGCTTAGTAGCACGTTTCTCACGGTAACGACAATAGGTGACACGTGGTAAACTGTATATAACACACATGTGTGTGAGGTGTTTATAACATGAAAGCTTTACTAGTTATAGAACAATTAACTAGATAACACGTGATAAACTAACTTCCTTGTCGTGACGTCATGTTAGGAGCAGCGCAAATGCTCGAAACACGTGGCATGCACAATAACCAATGGGGTTGTAGAAACTTACATCGCTGACCAATAGGAACCAATGTTTGTCACGAGGGGCTCATGTACTCTCTTGGAGTACATACAAAGTAGGTTGAGGAGAGGGAGAGGGAGACAGTTTTTAGTTTTTAGTTTTTACTCGGACAGTTTTGATTAATATTGAACTCTGTTGTTTCCAATAGTTATAGAATCCATACAATTTGTTTTATTTAGTTACAACACCATCTCAAGTCACCTCACAATATCAACTTATTTCCGAAGATAACTTACTAGTTACCTTTTCCAACTTGAAAGTTAAACACATTGGGTTCCTGCAGTACAACAGGTAAGTTACCTGAGCTAACCCACGAGAGGAGTCTAACAAAAGGGGCGATCTACTTAGGACGTCAGCCAAAATCGCAGATTTTCAGACCACCCCCTCCCCCTGTCCGGGTGTTTCCGAATTTTCAAAACCACCCCCCCCTCCCCCGGACGTCCAGATTTCCAGCTACTTTTACGAGTACAAATAAAACCAACTCAAATTCATTGTTAATAAAATGTGTAGTTACTTGAAATATATGCGAGTTGTGTCTCGGCTCTTATGAGCTGCTCTGGGAATCGACTTCTCGTTCAAAATACAGGGATCTAAACTTACAGAGTAATTGTGCCAAAATTTCCGGACGTCCGGAATTTCAGAAACAGTGCGTGTGATCTTCTGTCGTATCAAATCAAATTTTTTTCACTATGTTTTTAATAAATAAATCATAATATTATGCAAGTTTTAATTTTAAAGTTTTTGGTTTAAAAAAAAAGAATAAACAATAAAGGTTGTAACATCATAATTTTCTACTCTCATTTTCACTTAATACTAAATAAAATTATATTGTTATATATCACATGATTTTGTAAACATTGGCCGGTGTAACAAAAACCCGAAAAACGTTCCCCAAACAAACTACAAACTCTAACATTCTAGTTTAGAACGACGATTTTATCTCGTACTCAGAAAATGTCGTCTAGCTAGAACGACGATTTTATCACGTACTCAGAAAATGTTGTCTAGCTAGAACGACGATTTTATCACGTACTCAGAAAATGTTGTCTAGCTAGAACGACGATTTTATCACGTACTCAGAAAATGTTGTCTAGCTAGAACGACGATTTTATCACGTACTCAGAAAATGTCGTCTAGCTAGAACGACGATTTTATCACGTACTCAGAAAATGTCGTCTGGCTAAATAAAAAATTCATCCCGTAATGTGAAATGAACAGCTGGTTCAAGTTTACAAAATTATCCTGTGGAGATAAAAGACATTTTTCAGGAAACATTTTACATGACGTCAATGGGAAGTGTGAAGGTGGATTTCACTGTAATAATTGTGAGATTCAATAACAGAATTGAGTAAGATAAGTCGGACTCCTTTACAAATACTGTACCCGGTTAGTTACCTGGCAGACACAACTCCTGGTACTACTGTACCTAATCTTCACCGATCACGTTTTTCCACCTAACCCTGGCAAAAGGCCAGTAGTGGTGATATCATGCCTCAAAGTTCAATTTTGCACCTCATCCGGACCTTTTTTGCCATGATTTAATTTGTGAGATAATCTCATTCCATAATTGTGTTGGTATTTGCTCCAAAATTGTCCAGTAACTTGCTCCAGAAGGCTCTAGCACATCACGTCAAGCGCATGATCAGGCGCATGACACTACCACACGGGGTGGTGAGGGGGTATAAAGAGGACCTCTCCGTTCAGAGAGCTTCATTCTGCACACTGCTCAGCGGGGTCAGCTGCACCCTGTTCAGAGAGCTTCATTCTGCACACTGCTCAGCGGGGTCAGCTGCACCCTGCTCAGATAGCGTCATTCTGCTCCCTGCACAGCGGGGTCAGCTGCACCCTGCTCAGCGGGGTCAGCTGCACCCTGCTCAGCGGGGTCAGCTGCACCCTGTTCAGAGAGCTTCATTCTGCACACTGCTCAGCAGGGTCAGCTGCACCCTGCTCAGAGAGCTTCATTCTGCTCCCTGCACAGCGGGGTCAGCTGCACCCTGCTCAGAGAGCTTCATTCTGCACACTGCTCAGAGAGCTTCATTCTGCACACTGCACAGCAGGGTCAGTTGCACCCTGCTCAGCGGGGTCAGCTGCACCCTGCTCAGCGGGGTCAGCTGCACCCTGCTCAGCGGGGTCAGCTGCACCCTGCACAGCGGGGTCAGCTGCACCCTGCTCAGCGGGGTCAGCTGCACCCTGCTCAGAGAGCTTCATTCTGCACCCTGCACAGCGGGGTCAGCTGCACCCTGCACAGCGGGGTCAGCTGCACACTGCTCAGCGGGGTCAGCTGCACCCTGCACAGCGGGGTCAGCTGCACCCTGCACAGCGGGGTCAGCTGCACCCTGCTCAGCGGGGTCAGCTGCACCCTGCACAGCGGGGTCAGCTGCACCCTGCTCAGCGGGGTCAGCTGCACCCTGCACTTTAGAGAGCTACATTCTGATCCCTGCACAGCGGGGTCAGCTGCACCCTGCACTTTTGTTGAGCTTGTCCAGCTTTTCACACCAAACCTGCTTTAGCTGTAGTAGTGCCGAAAATATTTTGTTTGCCATTTTGATGATCCAAAGTAAGGAACAACGAGTTTCTCTTGCCATCTCTGCTATTCCCAATACGGCGAAATGGCGAGAAATTTGAGTAAAAATTAGATCTGATAATATATGTAATATGTAATATTATGTATTCTTGTATAAATTTCTATTGATCCTGTTGTAAAGGAGAATCAGTAGAATTCTCATGAACCTAGTTCACTTTTATTTCTAGCGTCCTATGAAGTTTCAGGAACGTTGCGTTTCAGCCATATAGGACTTTCATTATAAGTTGTTTGAGCCGTTTTAAATGCACCGTTACATGTTTCCGGGTAAAACGGTGTATTAAGGTGTAACTGTTTCACAATTGTTTAAATGGAAGGGTTTATTTCAATTTACACATTTGAGTGTAAGATTGGTTGACTGGCAAACCAACTGTCAGTTTGGAGCCGTCCGCTCACCTTTGCACCTGACTGTCAGCCAGGCCTATTGTTGGTCCTCGCAGCCGCAGGGTGACTGCTAGTGGAGTGCTCATTGGCGAGACTACGTGTCACGTGGTGCAAGCAGATGCGTGTACCGTCACGCAGTATGGCGTGATAGAATTTTGAGAGTACACCCGGAGAGCCGGAAGTGGAGAGCTCACTTCTTGGTTGCCCCTTAATCGTTTTAAGGATCCGATTGACGATAGCCAGTTTGCCTGAACACTATCTTCTGTGATTAGACACGTCGAGTGATCTATATATCACGTCATTGTTTCTCCATTTCAATTTACTCGTTTCATTTCTACCATACGGTACGCCCTGCTGCTCGTGTTACGTGACTAGAGCTTGACTAGCATACACTTAACTCCAAGAAACTCGCTTTCCTATAATCCCGTTTGATGCGACAAGGAAAAATCAAATCAAATTCCATTTCCAAATAAGAGCATTTTTCCTTGTGGCATCAAACGGGATCAATAGAAATTATAGACATTTATACAAGAATACATTGCAACCATGTGACTCATAAACAATATTCCAATCCGGATTTTGCATATAATATTATATTGGTGAGGGTATAAACTATAAATTAACTGGTACACACTAACCCCATCCTGCCTCCCCCTTTAATTTGATCAGCCTGCATGACATCAGGCTTATATTGAGTTGTCATTAATAACGGCAGGATACAGCTCCATATATGGAATAATTGGACGCTCTAAATAGTTTGCTCATTCTCCGAGAGTCATGAGTTGATTTGGCACGAGTCCAGGTAACGGATTATATAGCTCAGTACAGCATCATATGACCATATTGTCAACTTTGTATGGTTACTCGTTACTCTCTACTCTCTGTGTTCCTATCGCTGTTGAGTGACGTGCTGTATATATCATTACTAGTGTACGGTTACTATGGTTAAATACTATGGTTACTTTTGCTGCTGTAGCTCTGGTTTTAACACATCTTATCATCCCATCTTTGTATTCTCTGAACTGTTGTTGTTTTGTTCCGTGTTTGTGTTTCTGGTATAAGTATCTAAATCTCACAAATGAGAGTCTCACAGTCTCAACCAACATAAGAGTTATTCTTTGGTTCGATATTTCAATATAACTAAAGTACTAATTATGTTGGTTTGGCTTCTGTTAATCATTATTTACTTATAATTCAACCCCTCGTAGCGTACTTATAACAAAATGGCTTGTAAATGTGGATGTGGATGTGCTTGCACTAACTGTGCCGGAAAGGCTGACTGCTGTGGTGAGTAAAGTAGTGTAGTTTGCTAACAGAGTAACTTTAGTAGCGTTAGTTACTTAGTGTAGTTATTAGTGTAACTTGCTAATCTTCCTAATCTTCTCAGCTTCTGTATAGTGTATAGTGTATTATCACAATGCTGGCAAGCATAACCGTTGCCCTTATATTCACAACACTATTTACCCCCTATACTATTATATCCCCTTTATTGTTTTCCAGGCATTAAGATTCATCGAAAGTAGTTCATCAGGTATATTTAAGTTCAAAACATTCTAATTCAATGTTAAAGATGACAGGAATAAGAAATAGTTATGTGGAGGTTTTTAAGAAATTTGCGCAAAATACGCGCCAGCATGTTATACGAAATTAGGTAAAAAACCCAAAATCGCCATATTCAGGTGCCTTAAAAACCATGTTAAAATTGAGTTAGAGATCTGAAACTTTGCAGGGCGTCTAGACGTTGACCAAATCGAGTGTAAATGAAATTTCAAGTTTGAGGAGTATCGGGAAGTGGGTTTCCTGGAACCCCTGTTTTACAACAGATTGTCGTGAAGTATAGTATATAATATGTATATATAATATAGACGCTTTGGCAGTCAATTGTAGCCTACATTCAAGTATCTGTAGATTCAAAAGTATAAACAATACAGTCATTTCGAACCATAGGTCTTGAAGATAATCGTTTACACTTCAGTTTACATTACATTAAAAAATAATTTAACGTCATTCTAGAAGCTTACGGCATTCCAGTCAAAATCGTGCAGCTTATACGGCTCATGTACGAGAAGACAATGGCCAAAGTCCTAACTCCAGACGGAGAAACTGAATTGTTCGAGATACTTGCAGGTGTGTTACAGGGTGATACCTTAGCACCTTACCTCTTTGCAATAGTCATCGACTACTGTATGAGGCAAGCCATAGGCGATGATGCGGAGCGACTTGGACTCACCCTCGAACGTAGAAAAAGCAGAAGAGTGGGGCCCAAGATCATCACCGATGTGGACTTTGCAGATGATATAGCACTTATATCTGAGGACATGGACAAGGCTAACGAGTTCCTGCTCAGAGTAGAATCGGCGGCAGCAAGCGTGGGACTACACATAAACGAAGGCAAGACCAAGGTCATGACACTGAATATGGAGGATCGATCTAGCGACCTACAAAGTCGATCCGGGGAAGCCATAGAAAATGTAGATGATTTCATCTACTTAGGCTCCTGGATTGAGAGCACAGATAGGGAGATAAGGGTTAGAAAGGGAAAAGCGTGGGGTGCCCTACATAGACTGAAGGATATCTGGAAATCCAAACTGTCAAAGAGCCTAAAGATTAGATTGTTCATAGCGGCTTGTGAATCAGTACTGCTCTACGGATCAGAAACCTGGACACTGACAAAGGCTCAAGAGAAAAGTTTGGACGGGACATACACAAAGATGTTGCGTATGGTGCTGGGTATCTCATGGAAGGACAAGGTCAGCAATATAACTTTGTATGGTAGCCTCCCAAGGCTGTCAAACAAGTTACGAAGCAGGAGATTAAAAATGGCGGGACACTGCATCCGACATCCTGAGCTACTTGCCAGTGATTTAGTCTTATGGGAACCTACGCACGGTAGAGCACAGCAAGGCCGACCAAGACAAAGCTACTTGTCTATGTTACTGAAGGAAGTTGGGACAAACTCTAAAGAGGAACTGCGAACCCTGATGCGGGACAGGGATATATGGAGGGGGTTTTCTGGCGTAGATCGGACTTAGCTCCGACATAGTAGTAGTTAACGTCATCATTAACACTTGATGACGTCATCAAAGTAGGTGTTTTTAAAACTTGATTTTTGACAAAATAACAACTTTTCTAATCGATTTTACACTATTAAGGAGTAATTTTATTCAAAATCTGAGGAGATTTTGACCTTAGATAATTGTTCAAGCATTCTGAAAATCTACCGGAAAATTTTCCTACCTTGCTCCTTCATAAAGATATTTGCTATTGAAGTTAGTGCTTTTTTGAAGAATAATTTTATAAAAACACAAAAGTTGTGAATTAGTATTCTCTGGTGTTGGGCCATCCCTTGGGTTGTGGAGCTCAATTTTGCTTCTGAAAGGTCTAAATTGTGTTATAGGCTAGTTTTAAAGTTAAAAATCAAAAAGTTGCACACGCCCAAAAGTTGCACACGCCCAAATTGATTTAAAATAGCTAAAATCACTGAAAATTGTTATTTTCATGATTTTTATCAACTTTGGAGTCCCGTTGTGATCCAAGTTCTTTTTAAAATCTTCTGAAACTTTGGATGCTTATCAAACTATATATCAAATACCACTATGCAAAAAGTTATGGTGATTCAATATTGTATGCGCACGCAACGTCCACTCAAAGTTTGCACGTGCGAAAGGTGAGAATTTTGCTCATTCGTGATTTCGAATATATTCTGCTTTCCCACGATATTTAAATGGCATTATATATGAATTAAATGCCAACTTGAATGAGTAAAAAGTACCATTTTTTTAAAAATCTCAACACTTATTTTTACTTCGGACATTCCAACAGCCACATTGTTACACAAGTGTGTAACCAGCCAATTACAGGAAGCCGAAGGATTCAATTATACATTAGGCCAGTGACGGTTAAGGTAGTGTGTACCATACTTTCTTCGCCCGAGACTTTGCTGCAATGGGCAGCTCCTCATTTAACCCTCACACCCGATTTCTCGAGTATTTGGCTGAGTGGACCGGGGGGCTGCATAGACAACTCAGGATCCTTAGCTGAGTGTCGACGACGCTCACCCCACGGCTAGTGACAGAGTCGGGAATCGAACCTGGTACCTCAAGCAATACCAGGCGGATTAACCAACTGAGCCACTAAACCATATTCAGTGTGTTATCGACAGATATACCTACCTAAACACAAGGAAACGTTTTCAAAGGTAAAATTCCGAAATCGTTGAAATTACCTTCTTCTTAATGACGTTTCGACAGTGTAAATTATCCTGACATTATAATCAAAAAGAGATGATATTTGACCAAAACCCATCATCATGGGTGGAGTGAACCGCTGCCAGTGTCCCTCTTTTCCAAACAAAAGGAAATGATATTAATTTGAATAACCGTCCGCAAATGCAAATTGATACCGAGAATGAAATCGGTCGCTCGCTTTTCCCATTCATTGAAATTCACAGCTTTATACGAATTGTAATAAAGCTTATTGAATGGAAAAAGCGAGCGACCGATTTCATTCTCGGTATCAATTTGCATTTGCGGACGGTTATTCAAATTAATATCATTTCCTTTTGTTTGGAAAAGAGGGACACTGGCAGCGGTTCACTCCACCCATGATGATGGGTTTTGGTCAATAGTGTATAGTGTATAGTGTATAGTGTATATGATATCTAGTGTTACAGGAATATTAACTTATTAACAACAACCTTCTTATTTACAGGAAAGAAGTGCTGTGACAAGTGCAAATGCTAGACATGTGGCGAGTAGTGTGTAGTGTGTAGTGTGTACTACAGTAGTTATAGTAGTGTGTACTACAGTAGTTATAGTAGTGTGTACTATAGTAGTTATAGTAGTGTGTACTATAGTAGTTATAGTAGTGTGTACTATAGTAGTTATAGTAGTGTGTACTATAGTAGTTATAGTAGTGTGTACTACAGTAGTTATAGTAGTGTGTACTACAGTAGTTATAGTAGTGTGTACTATAGTAGTTATAGTAGTGTGTACTATAGTAGTTATAGTAGTGTGTACTACAGTAGTTATAGTAGTGTGTACTATAGTAGTTATAGTAGTGTGTACTACAGTAGTTATAGTAGTTATAGTAGTGTGTACTACAGTAGTTATAGTAGTGTGTACTATAGTAGTTATAGTAGTGTGTACTATAGTAGTTGTAGTAGTGTGTACTATAGTAGTTATAGTAGTGTGTACTATAGTAGTTATAGTAGTGTGTACTACAGTAGTTATAGTAGTGTGTACTATAGTAGTTATAGTAGTGTGTACTATAGTAGTTATAGTAGTGTGTACTATAGTAGTTATAGTAGTGTGTACTATAGTAGTTGTAGTAGTGTGTACTACAGTAGTTATAGTAGTGTGTACTATAGTAGTTATAGTAGTGTGTAGTGTGTAGTGTGTACTACAGTAGTTATAGTAGTGTGTACTATAGTAGTTATAGTAGTGTGTACTATAGTAGTTATAGTAGTGTGTACTATAGTAGTTATAGTAGTGTGTACTATAGTAGTTATAGTAGTGTGTACTATAGTAGTTATAGTAGTGTGTACTACAGTAGTTATAGTAGTGTGTACTATAGTAGTTATAGTAGTGTGTACTATAGTAGTTATAGTAGTGTGTACTATAGTAGTTATAGTAGTGTGTACTATAGTAGTTATAGTAGTGTGTACTACAGTAGTTATAGTAGTGTGTACTATAGTAGTTATAGTAGTGTGTACTATAGTAGTTATAGTAGTGTGTACTACAGTAGTTATAGTAGTGTGTACTATAGTAGTTATAGTAGTGTGTACTATAGTAGTTATAGTAGTGTGTACTACAGTAGTTATAGTAGTGTGTACTATAGTAGTTATAGTAGTGTGTACTATAGTAGTTATAGTAGTGTGTACTACAGTAGTTATAGTAGTGTGTACTATAGTAGTTATAGTAGTGTGTACTATAGTAGTTATAGTAGTGTGTACTACAGTAGTTATAGTAGTGTGTACTACAGTAGTTATAGTAGTGTGTACTACAGTAGTTATAGTAGTGTGTACTACAGTAGTTATAGTAGTGTGTACTATAGTAGTTATAGTAGTGTGTACTACAGTAGTTATAGTAGTGTGTACTATAGTAGTTATAGTAGTGTGTACTATAGTAGTTATAGTAGTGTGTACTACAGTAGTTATAGTAGTGTGTAATGTGTAGTGTGTACTACAGTAGTTATAGTAGTGTGTACTATAGTAGTTATAGTAGTGTGTACTATAGTAGTTATAGTAGTGTGTACTATAGTAGTTATAGTAGTGTGTACTATAGTAGTTATAGTAGTGTGTACTATAGTAGTTATAGTAGTGTGTACTATAGTAGTTATAGTAGTGTGTACTATAGTAGTTATAGTAGTGTGTACTATAGTAGTTATAGTAGTGTGTACTATAGTAGTTATAGTAGTGTGTACTATAGTAGTTATAGTAGTGTGTACTATAGTAGTTATAGTAGTGTGTACTATAGTAGTTATAGTAGTGTGTACTATAGTAGTTATAGTAGTGTGTACTATAGTAGTTATAGTAGTGTGTACTACAGTAGTTATAGTAGTGTGTACTATAGTAGTTATAGTAGTGTGTACTATAGTAGTTATAGTAGTGTGTACTACAGTAGTTATAGTAGTGTGTACTATAGTAGTTATAGTAGTGTGTACTATAGTAGTTATAGTAGTGTGTACTATAGTAGTTATAGTAGTGTGTACTATAGTAGTTATAGTAGTGTGTACTACAGTAGTTATAGTAGTGTGTACTATAGTAGTTATAGTAGTGTGTACTATAGTAGTTATAGTAGTGTGTACTACAGTAGTTATAGTAGTGTGTACTACAGTAGTTATAGTAGTGTGTACTACAGTAGTTATAGTAGTGTGTACTACAGTAGTTATAGTAGTGTGTACTATAGTAGTTATAGTAGTGTGTACTATAGTAGTTATAGTAGTGTGTACTATAGTAGTTATAGTAGTGTGTACTACAGTAGTTATAGTAGTGTGTACTACAGTAGTTATAGTAGTGTGTACTACAGTAGTTATAGTAGTGTGTACTACAGTAGTTATAGTAGTGTGTACTATAGTAGTTATAGTAGTGTGTACTATAGTAGTTATAGTAGTGTGTACTATAGTAGTTATAGTAGTGTGTACTACAGTAGTTATAGTAGTGTGTACTATAGTAGTTATAGTAGTGTGTACTATAGTAGTTATAGTAGTGTGTACTATAGTAGTTATAGTTGTGTGTACTATAGTAGTTGTAGTAGTGTGTACTATAGTAGTTATAGTAGTTGTAGTAGTGTGTACTATATTAGTTATAGTAGTGTGTACTATAGTAGTTATAGTAGTGTGTACTATAGTAGTTGTAGTAGTGTTTACTACAGTAGTTTAGATTTATTGTAGGAACCACCGTCACACTGCTCTGCGGTATTTCAATAATTGTGTGGTAAATTGGCTCAACTACATTAGAAAGCAAGCTGTAGACTTCAGAGGTCATTTTTAATTGACAATTAGATAATATTATGGTTACTATGGTTACTGTGATATCATGGTGATAATGTAGTATTCTATTTTAGTACATATCTAGTTAGCGGTAGGTTTGTTGCTTCGTGGTAGCTGTACAATGTGTTGCGTGGTTACTATAGTTACTATGGTTACTATGGTAATTACATTGTGTTGCGTGCTCTTGTTTCCCATAAGCTCTAACACTATATCCAGGATAGAAGAAATGCCAGCTGTAAGAGTGAAATCTCGTGATTACAGCGATTACTGAGGATGTTGTGCATTAAACTTCTGTAGAAAAAAAAACAGTTGAACTGTGATATATATTTTTCTTTTGAAATCTTTTGAAGCCGACTAAATGTTTGAAAAATAAAATGAAAATGAAATTTGTTAGCTATATTTGTTTTTGAAATTGTATGAATGATATATTATTATAATAACAATATTAAGTGTGACTCGTCACGGTACTTACCTATTATTACTCGTTGTTAGCCGAACTATAACATTTGCTTGTTTTAATGTTTCTATCATATTATAATACTCTGACAACTTGTTTAAACTGTTTAAAATCATTGCTGAACTGAGAATAATATCCGGTTATGTTGTAATAGTGAAATAATGTATTGTATGATCTTACAGAGACAAGCACAACTATGAGATTTATTTTGTGTTTGTTAAACCTAACTAATTGTTATTTATATAGCGATAAGCGTGCTGTTACCTGAACAAAATGGCTTGTAAATGTGGATGTGGATGTGTTTGTAAGGGCTGCGCTGGAACAGCTGCCTGCTGTGGTGAGTAAAGTAGTGTAGTTTGCTAACAGAGTAACTTTAGTAGCGTTAGATATAACTAATTTAGTTATTTAAATTTCATGATAAATTTAATGAAAAAGGCTTATAATTAAGTTTACAGAAATGACTTTGTTTCTGTTTCACATATTGCTCAACTCTCATGCTTCAGGAAAGAAGTGTTGTGCCAAGTGTAAATGTTAGACGATGAGGTTATTAAGGCTGATACTGACAGAAGATGGCCTGCATGGAGTATTAAACTAATGTTAAATTAAAAACTCTTACTAATTTGATCTACTAAAATTATAATAAATGACGTAATTATCTAATGTAATATATAATTTCTAATGTAATATATAATATGATATAATGAACTGATTTTAGTTTATCTTAAATTTCAAACTGCGTATTCTTATTCTGTCGAGAAGTTAATTACAAAAGTTGTAAATACCTGAAATAATCAGACATAATGTGTTTTGTTTATAGTATACAGACTGAGATTAATATATTATATTTTTACCTAACCTCCCCAATTTTCATTAGCGTTATACCTGAACAAAATGGCTTGTAAATGTGGATGTGGATGTGTTTGTAAGGGCTGCGCTGGAACAACTGCCTGCTGTGGTGAGTAACACTGTTAAACTGTTTTAATGTACCAATGGGGGGGGGGGGGGGGCACTTTCCTAATGGGGGAAGGGGGGGGGGGGGGGCACTTTCCTAATGGGGGGGGGGGGGGGGGGGTTGGTGCACTTTCCTTAAGGGAGGGGGCACTTTCCTAATGGGGGGGGGGGGGGGGGGGGGTTGGTGCACTTTCTTTATGGAGGGGGGCACTTTCCTAGTGGGGGGGGGTTGGTGTACTTTCCTTTAGGGGGGGGGGGGGGCACTTTCCTAATGGGGGGGGGGGGGGGGCACTTTCCTAATGGGGGGGCACTTTCCTAATGGGGGGGGGGGGGGGTTGGTGCACTTTCTTTATGGAGGGGGGCACTTTCCTAATGGGGGGGGGGGGCACTTTCTCAATGGGGGGGGGGGGGGGGGTTGGTGCACTTTCCTTATGGGGGGGGCACTTTCCTAATGGGGGGGGGGGCACTTTCCTAATGGGGGGGGGGGGGGCACTTTCATTATGGGGGGGGGGGGCACTTTCATTATGGGGGGGGGGGGCACTTTCCTAATGGGGGGGGGGGGGCACTTTCCTAATGTTTTAAACTACAGACGTCAACTTTATTACTGATGCTGATTTAGTGAAAGATAGCAAGATCTCCTGTAATAAAGGTGCAGCATATAAAAGTAACCTGATTGATTGAGGAGCACTACCCGGAGGCACTACTTGGCACTAACCTTAATACGTCTCCAATAATGGGTGAATGTATAGATAGACTTCTCAAGCTCACTGTTCTATTATTTACAGGAAAGAAGTGTTGTGCTAAGTGCAAATGTTAGACGATGAGGTTATTAAGGCTGATACTGACAGAAGATGGCCTGCATGGAGTATTAAACTAATGTTAAATTAAAAACTCTTACTAATCTTATCTTAATCTACTAAAATTATAATAAATGACGTAATTATCTAATGTAATATATAATTTCTTATGTAATATATAATATGATATAATGAACTGATTTAAGTTTATCTTAAATTTCAAACTGCGTATTCTTATTCTGTCGAGAAGTTAATTACAAAAGTTGTAAATACCTGAAATAATCAGACATAATGTGTTTTGTTTATAGTATACAGACTGAGATTAATATATTATATGTGTATCTAACTTCCCCAATTTTCATTAGCGTTATACCTGAACAAAATGGCTTGTAAATGTGGATGTGGATGTGTTTGTAAGGGCTGCGCTGGAACAACTGCCTGCTGTGGTGAGTAACACCGTTAAACTATTTTAATGTACTAATGGGGGGGGGGGGGGCACTTTCCTTAAGGGGGGGGGGGGGGGGGCACTTTCCTAATGGGGGGGGGGGGGGCACTTTCTTAATGGGGGGGGGGCACTTTCCTTATGGGGGGGGGGTAGTTTCCTTATGGGGGGGGGGGGGGGCAATTTCCTAATGGGGGGGGGGGGGGGGGGGGGGCACTTTCCTAATGGGGGGGGGGGGGCACTTTCCTTAATGGGGGGGGGCACTTTCCTAATGGGGGGGGGGGCACTTTCCTAATGGGGGGAGGCACTTTCCTAATGGGGGGGCACTTTCCTTATGGGGGGGGCCGGGGGGGGGGGCACTTTCCTAATGGGGGGGGGGCAGTTTCCTAATGGGGGGGGGGCACTTTCCTTATGGGGGGGGGGGCACTTTCCTTATGGGGGGGCAGTTTCCTTATGGGGGGGGCACTTTCCTAATGGGGGGGGGGGGCACTTTCCTAATGGGGGGGGGGGGCACTTTCCTTAAGGGGGGGGGGGGGGCACTTTCCTTAAGGGGGGGGGGGGCACTTTCCTAATGGGGGGGGGGGCACTTTCCTAATGGGGGGGGGGGGGCACTTTCATTATTGGGGGGGGGGGGGGGCACTTTCCTAATGTTTTAAACTGCAGACGTCAACTTTATTACTGATGTTGATTTAGTGAAAGATAGCAAGATCTCCTGTAATAAAGGTGCAGCATATAAAAGTAACCTGATTGATTGAGGAGCACTACCCGGAGGCATTACTCCGCACTAACCTTAATACGTCTCCAATAATGGGTGAATGTATAGATAGACTTCTCAAGCTCACTGTTCTATTATTTACAGGAAAGAAGTGTTGTGCTAAGTGCAAATGTTAGACGATGAGGTTATTAAGGCTGATACTGACAGAAGATGGCCTGCATGGAGTATTAAACTAGTGTTAAATTAAAAACTCTTACTAATCTTATCTTAATCTACTAAAATTATAATAAATGACGTAATTATCTAATGTAATATATAATTTCTAATGTAATATATAATATGATATAATGAACTGATTTTAGTTTATCTTAAATTTCAAACTGCGTATTCTTATTCTGTCGAGAAGTTAATTATAAAAGTTGTAAATACCTGAAATAATCAGACATAATGTGTTTTGTTTATAGTATACAGACTGAGATTAATATATTATATTTGTACCTAACCTCCCCAATTTTCATTAGCGTTATACCTGAACAAAATGGCTTGTAAATGTGGATGTGGATGTGCTTGTAAGGGCTGCGCTGGAACGGCTGCCTGCTGTGGTGAGTAACACTGTTAAACTATTTTAATGTACCAATGGGGGGGGGGGGGGTACTTTCCTTATGGGGGGGGGGGGGTACTTTCCTAATGGGGGGGGGGGGGGGGCACTTTCCTTATGGGGGGGGTACTTTCCTAATGGGGGGGATACTTTCCTTATGGGGGGGGCACTTTCCTAATGGGGGGGGGGGGGGGGTATTTTCGTTAAGGGGGGGGGGGGGGGGCACTTTCCTTATGGGGGGGGGGGGCACTTTCCTAATGGGGGGGGGGGATACTTTCCTTATGGGGGGGGGGGCACTTTCCTAATGGGGGGGAGGTACTTTCCTAATGGGGGGGGGGGGGCACTTTCCTTATGGGGGGGGGGGGGGATACTTTCTTTATGGGGGGGGGGGGCACTTTCCTAATGGGGGGGGTGCACTTTCTTAGTGGGGGGGGGGGCACTTTCCTTATGGGGGGGGGGGGGGGCACTTTCCTTATGGGGGGGGCACTTTCTTTATGGAGGGGGGGTGGGGGAGGGGCATCTTCCTAATGGGGGGGGGGGGGGGCACTAACCTTAATACGCCTCCAATGATGGGTGAATGTATAGATAGACTTCTCCAACTCACTGCTTTATTATTTACAGGAAAGAAATGCTGTGATAAGTGCAAATGTTAGAAGACGATTATTATATTGATGGAGAGTCATACTGCTACTGAATGAAAGTGGCCTCCATGGAATTTTAAGAATGCAGTTCAATTAGATAATTCTGACAAACTGAAACTTATGATTTTATTATCTGATGTAGCCGATTTATTTTCTGAAAATATTACTATTATGTTATAAAAATATAACTGTTATTATGTTGACAATTTAAAATGTTAAACTGTGTATTTTATTCTTTGTTTGTCAAAAATGTAAGTTCAAAAATTCCAAAAATTTTGAACTCTTGTCACCATTAGAGACGAAAATACGTCTCTGTAACGAATCAAATAGATTACTGTCACATTCCAAAACAATGCATTCAATCAATTATTAAAGGTACAACAATTGCACAAATCAGTTTGCCGTCTCGGTGTAACAATTACATAAATAATCAAATAATAGTTAATACGATACACTTAATTGATACAATAATTGAAATGAATTCTAACGTCACATAGACTTATAGGGATGGAGACTGATCATGACAAAAGGTTCTGAAAATGAGTAGTGTGTAGAACAATGTCTGAAGAGGATGTTCAGGTATTTTTAACTTGAATCATTTAATTATTTGTTTCAATTTTTCTGATTTCTCTTTGTTCAGATCGAGAATTTTTAATATTCAACATTCTCAGACTTCAATCGTATAACATCGCTTCTTGAAAACATTTCATATAATGTTCCAAAACCCATCTATAATCTATATTCTATGACTATAACTAACTTAGCCTCCAGGTAAAATAAAAGAGTTCAACTAATTACTCCAATATTCTAGTTACGGAGCAGCGGCTTTCACTCTAGGCGAATCTGTTCTTGAGACTGAGATTTTATCGTATTACATAGCACTCGAGGATCAGCAACATTATCCAGTCTGAGATTAAATGGTCTCGTATTAAATTGTCCGGATCTAACTCTAGTTATCGTTTCACTTTATCTGAAAAGTAAACTGTCTGAGTGAGATGTGTAAAGCTTGATTCTCCGTACGGCTCTGATTCTACTTTACAAGAGACCGTCTGGTTTCACGTCTGCCTGGCCCGGAATATAAAGACGAATCTCGCCGGTGTTGGGGATGCATGTGTCCTTCAACCATGTGTTTAGGTATTTCCTGTCTTTTGAGTTTACGAAGTGCTCCTAGTAGGTACACTAGCTGAAGTGGTCGCTTCATGGTCGGCCCTGTTAATTCTTTTATCCCATGCTCCTCGACGTTTTGGATCTTTTGGGAAAACCATAAAGCTCTCTGATAGTGACAAGGAAACGTTTAACTAATTTACTTAGTAATTTCATAATTGCAAAGCTCCTACAGTGGGTGCCATATCTTTTCGTCAGAGCCTGCAAAGTATTCTGATTATGACAATACAAACAGTGTTAAACCGACAATTTTCATTGAACCATATCTCCACTTCCGGACCACCGATTTACAAAATTCAAAAATGGGTGTTTAGACTTTTCTCGGACGTTAGAAATTATGGTCATTCGTGCTTCAGAAGAGACTGGCAGGCCTATAAATAAGGGGTTTGATCGCGATAATGATAATATTTATGAAGGAGCACAAGTTTTAATAGCAAGTGACGAATTTCTCTCTACATTGACATTACCATGGAGGTTAAAAAGGAATATCTTTATACTGCATTGTTCGATTTTGATGAAATTTACATTCCGACGGCTGTATCCTGGAGCTGGAGTCCGGAAATGACTTGAGAAAGTTCGTTAAAGCTGCTTTGAATTGCATAGTAGTATAATTATTACTAACCCCACTAGTGAAGCAAGTGTATCGTACTCTAGTACACAGCAGTGTACTGCTGCAATTACTCTAGCCTCTAAAGTAACTGTAATAACGACGGAGCAGCAGGCTTATCTCAACAACCAAGATCTCTTTAATCAGCACAATTTTGTAATTTTAGCCTGTGAAGTTATTATAACCTGCAAACAGCAAAGTCACTGCAGCGTACTGTTCAGCTAATAGCTTTATGTCACAAATCCAGTGTAGAGCTTATAGCAAGCAGTGTGTATTCAGTACCTCGAGACAGTGAATGGTATGTGTGTCAAGAGAACAAGCTGCACATGCTCCGGTTAATTAATCTCTCGCTCCTGGGTCCTGCACGCTATTGTTTTTCTGGGAATTAAGCTGTTTTGTCGGTAAACAAGGTGAAATAGTGACGGGATAAGCAATAGTGGTTCCTGAAACCTAAATTGTTCTTAATGGTATAGAACCTGTGTTCTATAAATTTGCCATTTTGAAAGAATGTAACCCCAGGGGATTAAATAGGGAGGAATTTAGGTATATTGAGAAGTATAGAACTAATTGCTTGGGTTTAAATAGATGCAAAGTTGAAAGATAAGGTTCTTAGTTTTTAATTCTTCTTTTTTGAAGCTTCATTTTTGAAGCTATATTTTTGTGTAGTTCATCTCCATTTACCTTGTGTATTTTATTTAGGTTATTTGATTCTCGATTGTTTGAGGCATTTTAGATCTTCGTATATATAGTACTAATAAAACTAACCAACTTAATTCCTTTGTAGATAATGATGTAATTTAACGAAGTATACACTACATTTGCGTGTTTCACTGTCTAGCCCACCAACCATAAGATTAGAACCTGTGTTGCTTCATTTGATTGAAGTGGTCCGCTCGAGGCATGAGTCCAGTGGCGTAACGTTGCCTGTTGGCGCCCCCCGCCGAAAAAGCGCCCCTGTTGGCGCCCCTTCCCCTTTTTGTGCCCCTCCCTAAAATTGAACAAATTAGGTGATTTTAGAGGATACGCTGGTAAAATCTCTAAAAAAGTGTGTATCGCGCAGTTTTGCTAGTACTTTAGTTAAGTTTTAGAAATTGTCCCACATTCAAACAACGATTTGGCGCCCCCCCCCCCACAAAGCGGGGCAAGCGGGGCCCTTCGTTACGCCACTGCATGAGTCTCGTACGAACTAGAGTTAGTAAACTGGGTGAGTGGGTGTTTACTGGGTGTTTATTAGGAACAAGCTCTAAAGTGCGGGAGATATTAATCACTAGGACCTTCTCAGGTGTAGTAACCATAGTACCTACTCAGGTGTAGTAACCATAGTAACTACTCAGGTGTAGTAACCATAGTACCTACTCAGGTGTAGTAACCATAGTACCTACTCAGGTGTGGTAACCATAGTAACTACTCAGGTGTAGTAACCATAGTAACTACTCAGGTGTAGTAACCATAGTACCTACTCAGGTGTAGTAACCATAGTAACTACTCAGGTGTACTAACCATAGTACCTACTCAGGTGTAGTAACCATAGTACCTACTCAGGTGTGGTAACCATAGTAACTACTCAGGTGTAGTAACCATAGTACCTACTCAGGTGTAGTAACCATAGTACCTACTCAGGTGTAGTAACCATAGTAACTACTCAGGTGTACTAACCATAGTACCTACTCAGGTGTAGTAACCATAGTACCTACTCAGGTGTGGTAACCATAGTAACTACTCAGGTGTACCAGTACGGGTTCCAGCAACGAGCCTCGTACCACCAAAGCGTTAAGAGCTCAGATGTCATCAGCATAGCTTACAGTCCTTTTTCTGGGGACTTCGCTCTACTGGATGGTGCAGGAATAACACATTGGAATAAAGACACCCAAATAGGTATGAGGGGCATTACATCATTCAAAATCAACCACAATATTTCCTATTCTCTGAGATTTAACTTTAAGTATTTAGTATTTACAATTATGTCAGATCGTTTCATCGAACTGTCTATTTTAGGAGGTCTACATTATCGAACTTCAGGAACGCGCGATTGTAAAATTTGTTAATAAGATGCGCATCAGTGGCGCGCATTTGCGCGCGCCACGCGGTTTGCATGTCGATTCACATGCATAACATGCTTCAGGTGCTTCTCCAACGGGGTGTTTGTTATTACTTGACGTGCTATCCACTGTTTTATAAATAGTAAAATAAATGCTACGTAGCAGGCACGTCCACGATGCTATAGTTCTGCCGTCATTCGACATGTATCAGAAAACTCATTTTACCGTTCGAATCACGTGCTGCACCACGCTGATTTGTGCATGTCGAAGGATGTTAGGCATAGTTTGTGGATAGCCGTTGAGGCAACAGGTCATAAATTCGGCCTCATTCTGCGTCAGTACGATACATCATACATGCCGCTGCAAGTATTACAAAATGACATGATTGCAAACAAACGTAACAGATCAACCATGTGGACCCCTATATTTAAATATACAAAAGCGCACACTCATTATGATTTGCTCCTTTATAAACAAGAATTGCGCCCGTTGTTTCGTTTTGGCGGACGCTAGATTTCCATTTCACAATAACTATTAATATATGCTCTAATCAGCTCACCTTATAATAATAATATTGAAACATCAGTAGACTACGCGTGCCACATTCAAGTTGGGCTTATTACAAAATACTATACATTACTAGTATTATATACATTAAAATACGCTCGTGCCGCGCATTCATTGACCACAGACTAGCTATACACCACATCTCCGCAAGCAATCCCCGTGCGCGTGCGCGCGGCAAGTTGACATGGTAACGAACGGAAGCAAGCAAGTAAGGAACACGACATATATTTGACCCACCTACCGCTATCTCCAAAATCCACGTTTTTCTGCAAAAACGTCCATTCGTAACCTTTCACTATTGCCTTTTTTCAAAAGGGTGAAAGGAAAAAATTGTATTGTTTTTTAAAATCAGGACATTATTTTTGAAACACCCTGTATCTTCTTACAGATAAACGGCTGCTAACCTACCCATCGAACAAGAAGCAGTTGTTGAAACAGATTATTTTCATACCAAAGTATGGTATTTACTTTGCTCTTGCGAAGGATAATACACTACAGGTAAAAACTTAAAATATAGATCAGAAGATTACAAATGAATCATTGGGGATGCAGTTATACATAAAAGCAATTCACATTTCATAATCATCCGCAATTTAACATTATATTATATATTTCCCCTCAGCTGCTGAATTCAATGCTGCAATGCAGTTTTGTGTTTGACGCGGACAATGGAACAATTCTCTGCATGCTTTATGATATGAGAAGAGATATCATAATCACAGCTGGAGTCGGAGGAGTCAAGGTGACTTTATCGTTTATCATTAATTTTCATCATTATTACCTGATATTAATTGAAAGTCCAGACAAACATAATATCTAAATTGTTATGTATTTTCGAACCCTCCCACATTTCTTCTAATATTTGTCCGTTACTGCGGACATAGTTCACTATGTGTTTACCGTGTTTGGGTGCCCATCATATTTTACAGATGGGGGCGATATTTTGAACGATTCTATTTTATATTCATCTATTGCTGTACTCTGTAAAATTTGAAAAGTATTTAATAAAAAATTTTAAAAAAACCTCACTGTTAAACTCTAATAGCTAGTATTGAGCGCGTTTAAAAAGCTTTATTTGTGCAGATGTGGAGGTATTTGCACCACAAGTGCGACAGAGACAGTGCGGGAACAGAACAGTTTTTTATCCAGTATAAACGCTACACAGTCACACCCTCTCAGTGGATCACAAGAGTTCAGCTGGACGATACTAACGACAGGTACTACAAATAGCTGATTAGTTATGGGTAATAAATATTGTACATTGGAGAAATTAACTTGAAGCGTCTGAAGGTGAGTAAAAAGAAAATTAAACGTTGCGGGGGGGGGGGGGGGGGGGGCGTTGCGGGCATTTAGTTGTAAGTTATAACATACCAAATCGTTCGTGATAAGTCAGCTTCAGGCTGGTAAATAGTTTCATGAAAGACAGATTTAGTCTTTCAAATAGCCCTTCTATTAGTATAATAATACATTAATACATTAATAAATAGCCTTATTGTCTCGACAGGCTACTGTGTGTGGCACAGAAGGAGATAATAATCCTAACATCAGACTGTGACTACCTGTTATATGTTACCATGGCATGGTTACTAGTTATGTGTTACCATGGTTACTAGTTATTGTTACAGGCTACTGTGTGTGGCACAAAAGGAGATAATAATCCTAACATCAGACTGTGACTACCTGTTATATGTTACCATGGTTACTAGTTATTGTTACAGGCTACTGTGTGTGGCACAAAAGGAGATAATAATCCTAACATCAGACTGTGACTACCTGTTCACAATCTCCACCTCCCCCTGTCTCCCCCTCACAGACTGCTGTTACTGCGCTAAGTTCAAATACTACATCACTGCCAGGTGGGCTATTTATAGAACACTTTTAACATTTTTAGAGTGATTTCAAACAGTGCGTGACATGTGCAGAAAGCTTTTATTTCATTCATAAGATTACAAAAGAAACTGCAATACTTGTTAAAATTGTATAAAATACTTAACAAGTCTGATTTAACAGTATTGACACGGCTCTAAAAGTTTGGTCAGAGCAGGGGACAATGTTACATACCTTCACCTCTCACAGCAAGGTAATATATTGGTAGCAGTCTGCCACAAAATCAATGTAACGATTATTATTGCTTTGCGTACCACTGCACTTATCTATTGTTTTTGTGTTTTTTGATATGATTTGTGGCCAAAAAGCTGTGATTTATAGCTTTAAAACTCAATTATAGCTTTAAGACTGTAATTAGGTTAAAAAGGTAAATAGGTTTAACGAGAAGATGTGGAATTATGAGGTCTCTATATCTCTATAGTAACTATAGTAACTGTGTGTATATATATAACGCTATATAAAATCAGACGGTAACTATAGTAACTGTGTGTTTCAGGCGGTAACTATAGTAACTGTGTGTTTCAGGCGGTAACGAGCGTGTTGATGCACCCTCAGTCAGATCTGATCATGGTCAGCGCCAGTTTGGATAAGAGCGTGAGACTCTGGAATTTGGAGACATTCGAGGAGATTTACAAGTCAGTATTTAGAACACAGATACTACTACTATGTAGTAGTGTTTTGCACATACAACATATTTATATGTTAGAAACGTTTCAATAGTTCATCATGCAACTGGTTAGTGGTTACTGAGTGTAGCAAACAAAATTGTTAATTTTATCATCTGACTTGATTAAAGGGAGATAATCCGTGTAAACTTCTTCTCACGACCCAAACTTGTAACACTCTAAAACATAACTTAATTTCACGCAGAGGGATACAAAATTGTATCCCCAATAATCACGCTTGAGATAAACCAAAAATATTCATTAATGAACAAATAACCGTTACATAGATTTGTCTACAACACATGTTCCGATGAGGCCCGTGTATCAATATTAATTACATTCTTACTATAAGCACGATACACTGCTGTAATTCTCCTAAACACGTCTTTTCGCGCGTCTTTATTGAAATAAAGAAAAACCGCTGGATTAAAGACGGACAAAGAGTCTGGTATAAAACAAAACAAAACAAAGAGCAAGTTGCCGCCCCTTCTCGCAAGTACTTTAGCGTACCCGGACCCTATGTAGTTATAGACTTTACTCTTCACTGCGATACTCACTGCAACTATAGAGGATATGAGGATGAGGAAGAAGACGAAGTTTCCAATGTTCATGATGAGGATCACAATACTACTCCCCCTGTTTCGCTTCTCTGTGTATTTGTTAGAGATCTCACTGTTCTGAGAGAACAGGATCCTCACCGTGAGAAAAGAAGCTGCCACCGCTGACAAAACGTTCACAATGTAAACCATCGCCAGTCCTAAGTGCCAGAACACGTTCAGCTCTCTCATAGCCATCTGTTGGTATGGGAACCAGGCCGTGTTACCATGGTGACCATTACCCCCCAGCAAACACCGGAGCAGAATAGCAAATACAACGAGACTGGAAGCGAGCAGATAGAGTGCTAGCCAGGACTTCTTGATAGCAGTGAGGGGTTCTCTTATCTTGAGGTACCTCGTTACAGAGAGGAGGGTGGTGGTGAAGGAGGAGAGAGCTTGCTCAGTATCGACAACAGGAATATAGTTATCTGAGAGTTGAGGGGGTTTAAAGTTCTGATATTATCATGGCAGACTTTACCAAACATATTAAAACCATACCATTACATGATTATATCATACACATGAGGTAATGACAATTACCCTGGTAACCATAACAATAACCCTGGTATTGCTGGTAATCATAACAGCAATTACTCTGGTAACCATAACAATTACTCTGGTAACCATAACAACAATAACTCTGGTAGTAATCAGATCATTACCTCTAGAGTGTTGGCGGGAAGGACCACGTCCTCCGAATGCTCCTTACTGAGGAGGTTGTAGAGTGTGAAGAAGGATAAGAGACTGGTGATGAGGTCTGATCCGGACAGAACGAGGAAGAGGAAGGAAGCTGTTCCGCTCCTCCTTCTGTAGTTGTGTCTGGAGGAGATTAGGGAGTTAGGTGAAATGAAGGAGTTACGAAATAGGACACACAAAGGGGGACTAAACTACAAATTATACTTTCCAGAAAATGTTCAAACTACTTTATCTTAAGTTTAATAAGATAGTAAGAATATTGGATCCAACAATAAATTCTAATAAGGGAAGCAGAAAACAAGAAGAAATAAACTCACAGGAAGACGATGGGGTTGAAGAGAAGGGACATTATGAGAAGAATAATGTAGATAGTCCCGAAGATGATGTTAACTATCCGACTCTCTAAAGGGTTGCTGTAGAGCAGTACCCTCCCTCTGCCATCAGTGTAGTTCCAGTATATGTCACCGAATATTGCCATCTAGTAGTTACTATGGTTACTAACACGCTATCTAGTAGTTACTATGGTTACTAACACGCTATCTAGTAGTTACTATGGTTACTAACACTAGTAGTAGTAGTAGTTGTAGTCTATAAAGTTATTTTTTATTAAATACTTTTCAAATTTTACAGAGTTCTATACAGAGTACTATACAACAGCAATAAATGAATATAAAATAGAATCGTTCAAAATATTGCCCCCTTCTGTAAAATGAGATGTCGGTAATAACTTGGACCCTAAACATCAAATAAATTTAAATCCAAAACTTTATGAAAAATTATTCAAGAATAAACAAAAACAAATCAATGGCGAATAACTGTGGATATAGTATAGACACGGTTATTTAAATCTTAAACAAAATGTTTACAGAACCCATATACTTTGGAAATAACAGAACCCAATATACTTTGAAGTGGACTACCTGTAAAGGGAGTTCATACCACAGTAGATGGGTTCTGTAGAAATGTTGTTAAAGTTATATAAACAAAATGCTGGTTTTAGTAGGATCCCATCTCGTTAGCTTTTCTTGTTAAAAGCGATTTCTCGACGGTTATCACCTCTTTAGATGATGCTTAAAACATTTGGACTCTGTTGCATTTAGTACAGAGTTTCCCTTTCGTCTCGAACTATTTATTTATTATTTAATTTAATATTTTTTATAATCTATGCAGCCCGTCTGAATTGCCAATGAGCAGTGTTTATGAAGGAGCAGTGTTTATGAATTATGTAACCTATGTATGGACGGGGGACGTAATAAAAACAAACGGAATCAAGAGGTATTATGCGATGTATAGATAGATAAAGCACGTTTTTGCTAAACAGTGGCCGGCCCGTGAGGAAGGTAAATGATGTTATTGTGAGAAACGATGCCTTACAGCGAGGGATATTATAGTGTTACCATGGTAAAGATTATAGACGGAAGGTTTTAAGAAAAACTTCCGAACGTGGAGGTTTTTCCATTCTCCCAAGATGGAGGTAGAGGTACCTAGAGGGAGCAGTCGTCCTGATTCCCGGGATGAGACCGCTGTTACCCTAGAGGGAGCAGACGTCCTGATTCCCGGGAGGAGACCGCTGTTACCCTAGAGGGAGCAGACGTCCTGATTCCCGGGATGAGACCGCTGTTACCCTAGAGGGAGCAGACGTCCTGATTCCCGGGATGAGACCGCTGTTACCCTAGAGGGAGCAGACGTCCTGATTCCCGGGAGGAGACCGCTGTTACCCTAGAGGGAGCAGACATCCTGATTCCCGGGATGAGACCGCTGTTACCCTAGAGGGAGCAGACGTCCTGATTCCCGGGAGGAGACCGCTGTTATCCTAGAGGGAGCAGACATCCTGATTCCTGGGATGAGACCGCTGTTACTCTAGAGGGAGCAGACGTCCTGATTCCCGGGATGAGACCGCTGTTACCCTAGAGGGAGCAGACGTCCTGATTCCCGGGAGGAGACCGCTGTTACCCTAGAGGGAGCAGACGTCCTGATTCCCGGGAGGAGACCGCTGTTACCCTAGAGGGAGCAGACGTCCTGATTCCCGGGATGAGACCGCTGTTACTCTAGAGGGAGCAGACGTCCTGATTCCCGGGATGAGACCGCTGTTACCCTAGAGGGAGCAGACGTCCTGATTCCCGGGAGGAGACCGCTGTTAATTCTGTTTAATCCAAGGGGAGGCTGTATAACAAGGTGATCACTCTATTGTAGTAGTATTGTGTTGACAAAGTGGGGAAGGGGAGTGCTAAGAGAACGCTGCTAGCAGGTGCTCAATATAAAAGTTCGTGTAAAGAAGAGTGTGCAAATCTCCTATAGAAGTGATCCCCTAATCCTGAATGAATGATCTGATTAGCAGGCCAGATGTGATCACGAGTTGTGCAGTCTTTCTTGAGAAATGACAAACGTGCTAAGTTGTACACATGCGGAGCAGTACATTCACGTTAATCTGCAGTTTTAATCTGCGGTTTTAACTGGGAGACTAATTACTATCACAGAATAGAACTCTTCTTATTTTAGGCATACAATGGTATTGTAAACATCCGTTGTTCCTTGAAATAAAAATGCTATCACATAACCAAGCTAATGTTTTATTTGGAGTAATGGTCCACCAGGTGGTATAGGTATATTCCACCTATACCATTTGGTCCGGTAAGTACCTAAATCACTAAAGAGCTTTATATAAGGAGATAATAATTTTTATTTCAAAATTCAAATAAACTTTACATCAATGTATTACAGTAATATTTAGAAAAGTCCACAATATCTCCTGTGAGGCAAAAACATGGAAAAAGAGAGCTAGAAAAATATTCATGAGACTCAACACTACCAGACTGCAGCTGGAGAACATTATGTAAACATCATAGTAAAATTTATTTCGGCTGAACCAAAACACGGTGGTAAAAACCATAATTACATTGGTGCCGACCCTACATAAAATCATTAATAAATAATCAAGAGAACAAATTAAAATGTATACTATACCTTCTTGCTACTACTTCACAGACTTACACAACATAACAACAGAATAACATATTTATATATTATAATATACCAATCTATCTAACCATACCATTGGATCAAAAGAGAAAATAAAGGAGCAGAGGAGAAAATATTATTTTTATACAAGGCGCAGATTAATCAAGTTAACATTACATTACACCATAACGGGACCATAACATAAAGTTAGTCAGTAATATGTTTTATGATGTGTACAGGATATAATTTTGAAAAGACTTAAAGGTCACAGGGGGGGGGGCTCAGTAAAGTGGGCAAGCCATAACCTGCCCGGCACGCAGCCCCCCCCCCCCCCCCCCCCTCAACAGTACAACCCGTACCTTATTATAAACATATAATTATAGTTAATGTTAAATTCGGCATTATTACATCATTTAGTTAAGCAATAGTGGCTAGTATAATAACTCATGACAAGGACTGGCTGGTGGGTATACTGACCATGCAACCTATATCTCATTATATATAATAATTATACAGCGTCATATAGGGTCTTAACTATTATTAAACTAAAGGGTTCTTAACCAACCTATATAAAAGGTTTTTAGACTAGCCATATAATACGTTAATTTATCACATTTGCAATAATTATTTGAATGGTGGATTGTCAGTGGAGCGTACTGCTCAAATTAAACGTTTTTCAATTTATTAAAACTATTGTTATATTTTATATTATAATTATAACTTGGTGGTCGGTATGTTACCAGGACGATAACCCTGGTAACCACTCTTGTTACCGTAGCAACTACCCTGGTAGCCATGGTAACAGTGTGTTCTCCTTCAGGTTGCAGGTGTGCGAGCATGGTATCCAGTGGGTAGGATTAACACGTGACAACTACTTGTACTGTGGAACATCACGTGATCTCAGTGTCTGGTCCATCAACTTCCTCGCTCACTTCTTCTCTCAGGTTACCATAGTTACCATAGTTAACATAGTTAACATAGTTAACATAGTTAACATAGTTAACATAAATAACATAGTTACCATATAGTTACCATAGTTACCATAGTTACCAAAGTAACTTCTTCTGTCAGGTTAGCTGCTCATTTGTATCTTTTAACTTCCGTTAGAATGTTCCAGATGAAGTATCGCCATGAGTCCCTACTATAATAATTAATATGTTGCAACTTGCAGTTAACAGAGAAGTGAACTTGTGCACTATTGTTTATCATACGTTAATACTATGGTGCTGATATGATTTCTCAAGAAACTGTGATGATTTCTGTCCTGCCTGCCTACTATTCATTAATTTAAGAATCTGTTATTGAATCTGTAATTTGATTAATTAATTTAAGTTAATAAATGTTCCAATACAATACTCCACACAGACACGTGTACCAGTGAGTAAGATCAGTCCAGTAATGCACTGCAACACTAAGAAGACTCCACGTGTCGTGGTGCTGGGAGAGGACAGCTCAGTTAGACTTCTCTCAGCTCTGAGTGGTAAAGGTATATCTACAATACTACCCCCTCCTGACATCAGTCCTCTTAACAAGGTCAGTTTTATATTGTTTATATCTTAGTTACCATAGTTACCATAGTTACCATAGTTACCATAGTTACCATAGTTACCATAGTTACTATAGTTACCATAGTTACCATAGTTACTATAGTTACCATAGTTACACTACTAGTTACCATAGTTACTATAGTTACCATAGTTACCATAGTTACCATAGTTACTATAGTTACTATAGTTACTATAGTTACCATAGTTACACTACTAGTTACCATAGTTACTATAGTTACCATAGTTACCATAGTTACCATAGTTACTATAGTTACTATAGTTACCATAGTTACCATAGTTACTATAGTTACTATAGTTACTATAGTTACTATAGTTACTATAGTTACTATAGTTACCATAATTAAGCAATAATCTCTCCTCCTGATATCAGTGCTCTTAACAAGGTCAGTTTTATATCGGTTATATCAGACATATATTATATCATGGTTACCATAGCTACCATAGCTAGTAGCTACCATTGCATAGTTTCCCTATTTCTACTCAAGTATAAGTTCCGGTAATCTGGTCTCCAATATTCTAAGTATAGAGTACTGGAGTAATGAACAATTGTGTAGAAGCTGTTACATGATACTCCACCTAGCGCTGCTATAAATCCTCGCGTAGGAAGTGCAATGCTCATATATGTCCGACACATTGCTCAATCCTTTTTGTAACAAACATCAACATGTAGTTGATTTTAATTTTAATAATTTGTGTTCCCCGTCAAGTGGTGCCATCGGTTCAACTCCATCGAGCAGCGATTCAAATCAGCAGCACCATGAAGACAAACAGCATGACCAAGGGGGAACGGTCATCGTCTCCATTCTACCGACTGGATACGACTACAATGAAGAAAACAAAGAATGTCTAGGAACGGGGGACAGTAAATTGCATGATTGTATATATTTTAAGTTAAGTTCTGTTGATAATGTGGCTGAGAAACTTCTAGGTGGTGAATACGAGGAAATTATCATGGAGGCAACAGTTACACACATAGCAGGTCACAAACGTCCACTTGGATCTCTTAGTAAGGATTACCCACCTGTTGGTTACCACGCATTTTTGGTCCTAAAGACAAACATTGGAATTTCCCTGACACTAGAAAAATTAGGAGACGGCATCTACATTGGCAAGGGTCCACTGATTAACGGCTCGGCTTGTAAAACTTGTGCATTTTCATACAATTCAAAACTCATGATTGAAGATGAATCCAAATATTCTCTTTTAGAGCTGATAGAACTCTTAAAAAATGAAAAAGATTACTACAATCCGGTAAAAGATAATTGTCAGGATTTTGCAGAAAGATGTTTTGATAAAGTTGCTAGAATGAAGCGTTGGGGGTTCGTGTCAACTCGAGAATGTCTGAAAAGTTGTTGTATACTTATCCTTATTCTTCTAGTGATTATACTTATTGGAGTGATTATTATCGGGTTTCTTAATAAAATGAAATGATATTCTCTTCTATTCAATATTTTTTATAAGTATTCAAACAATATACACATAATATCACTATGAACCTATATAAAATGAAACCTTTAAAAATGCAATATATTCCCAACTAAAATATTGGCAGAAACATTTCAAATACACCCTTGGCTCCAAGTTCAAATTGAGACTCTCTATTGTAAATCTACAAAGTTCTTTCTCGCTCCTCTGTCTCCTCGGAGAGAAATCACTGTTCTATTCGATTTACACAGTTAAAATCACCAATGTTAAATGTCTAAAGGTTTTATTTTAAAATATTATTAAGCTTTTTAATTTTTAAAAAGGAAAAAAATATTGAAAATTTAAAAAAAAGAAGCTTGGTATGAGAATTAGTGTGGAAATTAGTGTGGAAAAAAAGAGTTAGTATCGACATGAATGTTACGATTGCAGTTTATTTTTTATTATATTATATTCAATATGTTTATATCACTTTTAGTTTAGCTTTTTACTTACGGAATTCGTGTTACTTGGTAAAATTGAGAAAATAAGCCATCCATCTGTCCATCATTTTTCTCGCAAAGTTGAGAATTTGTTGAGACAATACGGCACCTTCAGAATACGGTACAATCAAGGTAGGTAGGTTACAAAAATGTGAGCTTCAGTAAATCCTACTAACTAAGGTAACTATGGTAACTATTTCAGATTCTAGATGTGAGCTACAGCAGATACTACGGTCTTATCTTCCTCCTGATAGACAGTCTCACTATATGGGTCTACACTTCAAGGTAATTACTTACAAAATAATGTTGTCAGTAATAATGTGAGAGACATCGTTTAGCGTTTTTAATATTTTATTTCATTATGATCGATATCCCAATTATTCCCACAAGATCCCAATTATTCCCAATTATTCCCACGAGATCTCAATTATTCCCAATTATTCCCAATTATTCCCACTCACTCACGGTGATGTCAGATATGGTTTATATTTTCAGCATTTCGTTTTACTACATTTTTCAGTTGATTATTGAAATTAAAAAGACTTGAACCGTTGCGAATTGTTAATCATTGGTTAATCATCCAGATTCCAGTTAACCGCTCACACTTAACAAATCATTAAATTCTTGAAACTCTGAAATCATAATTTGGTTATCAATATTCGAAAATTATTCCAAAAATACTTAATTGGAACCAGAAAATGTATGTGCAGCAACAATTTCCCACTGTAATTGTTTCTAAGTGCCTTCTCAAAAGTTCACCCATAGTATAGTTTCTTCTTTGTACTTGCCGATCAATTACAGTCTCAAAATCAAGGCTAACTGCACCGCCCCTCTTAATACGGTAGCACACGTGCTGTCTCAAAATCAAGGCTAACTGCACCGCCTCTCTTAATACGGTAGCACACGTGCTGTCTCAAAATCAAGGCTAACTGCACCGCCCCTCTTAATACGGTAGCACACGTGCTGTCTCAAAATCAAGGCTAACTGCACCGCCCCTCTTAATACGGTAGCACACGTGCTGTCTCAAAATCAAGGCTAACTGCACCGCCCCTCTTAATACGGTAGCACACGTGCTGTCTCAAAATCAAGGCTAACTGCACCGCCCCTCTTAATACGGTAGCACACGTGCTGTCTCAAAATCAAGGCTAACTGCACCGCCCCTCTTAATACGGTAGCACACGTGCTGTCTCAAAATCAAGGCTAACTGCACCGCCCCTCTTAATACGGTAGCACACGTGCTGTCTCAAAATCAAGGCTAACTGCACCGCCTCTCTTAATACGGTAGCACACGTGCTGGACAGTGTTGTTTGATGAACTTCTTAGATGGACTCCTCCAGAACCTGACTCCCTCGCTCAACAGATCTAACAGCTGAACCCCTCCTCGGGACCCCTCCCCCAGAACCCCTCCCCCCTCCTCCACGCCGTCTCACCTCAGCTGCTGTACTTGGAGAATTCAGCACCCCTACCCTCTCTGCTAACTGTCGGGCTGAAGTGCAGATGAACTCCCTGAAGCTGGTTACAGTGAGACTATACACGTAGAAGTTAGCCATGATGTTGAGGTTGGAGATGAAGAGAACAGTTCTCCAGGTGGAGGTACTAGGAGTCACTGCTAGACTGGACAAGGTCACTACAAACCAGGGCAGGTTGGACACCAGGTACACCACAGTTGTGGAGACGACTGTCAGCACACCCTGCCACCGGAGACACTTCCCTCTCTCCAGGGCTAGCTTCCTTGCTTTTAGGAGGAGTAGAGTGGACGTGGTCACCAGCACTAGCATAGCCAGGAGGAGGCCTCCGAACGTGAAGACAGCAGCAGACCATTCCAACCAAACAGGAGCAGGTGTCTGCCTGTAACTGCACGTGTAGTCCAGATAGTTGAAGTAGAGATCTTCAGAGCTGCAGAAGAAGATGTGGAGGAGCTGACCGGGTTGGAGGAGACCCAGGACCCAGAACACAGCACACACCATGTGAACCCGTCTCTCTGTCCAGGAGCCAGCTCTCAGAGGGTGGACCACTATCAGGAGCTTGTTAGTGGTCAGAACACAGGTTAGACCTGCAGTGGCAGTGATGCACACAATGTTAATATTGGGGTTCAGCAGACAGAACACCTCTCCCAGCACCCAGTCCTGTGCTGACAGGGATATTATTTGGGGAACAGTCTCGAACGTGGTGAGAAGAAGATCACTGACTGCTAGGTGGATAATCACTACGACCACGGCTTTGTGCAGCTTGATGGCCTTGTATCTGGTGATCCCCACTAGGATTACAGTGTCTCCTACCAGGGAGGAGAGGGCTACGAGAATGTTGAAGAAGATCCAGAGGTGGAGTTCAGTGCTCGTGTGTATCCCGAGCTCTGTGAAGTTGTTTGTGTGTACCATCCTGGCCTGGAGCTAGAGAGTATTGTGTTATATATAACATCACAAGAAGAAAACCACAAATAACAGCTGAAAAACCGACAGATGAAAAGATGGTCTGAGACTGACAAAAATTAAGAAAAATTCAAAATTCTGGTCGTCGATGGTCTCAAAATAGCAGTATAAACGGCCCCAGGTGTCTCGAAACCACTCTTTTTAATCTACCCTCTATACTGTATAGGACCGTGTAGGAATGTAACAGAGTAACTACCAAACCACTGGAGCACTGGGTGCAAGTTGTAGTTACGCATATCAGCCTCCGCCAAATCAAACGTGTAGTACGTTTCTTAGGGAGGTCAGGTGCTGTCATAGGAATTTGAACAATGATCTCATATCAGCTCCATATCTCATAGTTGATGATATCAAATATCAGCCCAACAATCACGATACCAGGTCAAAATGCAGTTTAGTTATCTACTCATTCGGGTTATTTAACAGCGCAAAGAATCCGGTAAAAAATTAAATAGTTAAATGATGACATATCAGGGTCTAACACGCCTCCCTCCCTCCCTCCCTCCCTCCCTCCCTCCCTCCCTCCCTCCCTCCCTCCCTCCCCTCCCTCCCTCCCTCCCTCCCTCCCTCCCTCCCTCCCTCCCTCCCTCCCTCCCTCCCTCCCTCCCTCCCTCCCTCCCTCCCTCCCTCCCTCCCTCCCTCCCTCCCCCTCCCCCTTCCTCCCTCCCTCCCTCCCTCCCTCCCCCCCTCTCTCCCCTACTAACAGTGAAAATTCAGGACAGACCCCGCATCTCGAGTGGACCATTGGGAGGAAGATGTTTTGAGGCTGATGCTCCATACTGAGGACGTTTCTGGAACTCTAGGAGTAACCTGTTCTATCCAGGTAATACTATGGCAACCACTTTTGTTAATTTATATATATAATATTAGTTGCCTGTTATATCCATTATCCTTCTTATTAATATGCTATTTCAATCGGGCACTCGGTGACCTGTGTGTTATTCAGTTATTTTCGTATGATTTTGTACTGTTCAATCACAATTTTAACTGATTTGGAACTTAAACTTAACCCGAATTACGGGTTTCAACTGGATACCGCAGTGATATGACAAGTTTTGACAATCTAGCGAAATCTCAACTAAACAAGAGCGTACTTTGTTTCCGTTACATAAAACATTATATCAGATAGTTTATTGAAGAGAAAGTGAATTAACGAGGCAGACATTGCTCACTCCGATTAAAACACTTGACTTTTAAATGTTTAATAGTTTAATGAATCTTTAATAATGGTTTAAATAGACACTTACATTTTTTAAAGCTACGACGAATAAAAAAACAAACATTTTCCTTGTCAGCTAAATCAAGATGAAATCAACAAACGGAATAGTAAATCACTTCCCAAAAAATGGAATAAAACTAGTTAAAAGGTTAATGTAAAATACTAATGAACTCCTTTACATTTGCCACAATCTTCTCGTTACTCTGTTTCTTCAGTAGCCACATTGCTGGGGAGACCATGTCTTCAAGAACGTACATCTCCTCATCAAGTGAACTAGATCTAGCTATCTCCACCATACACTTGGTCACGTTTTGTAGATAGTCCAGCTTGTGAGGGGGTTCTCTTTCAAGGGACTTAGTGATAATGTCAGAAATAAATTTGAAGATCTTGGCGAGTTCAGTTTTTCCTGGAGCAGTATATTCGACTGACTTGTCGCAAGATAGCTGGCAAAGTTTCTTGAAGACCCGCTTGCAGTTAGGAAACTTGGCAATCATCCAAAGCAGTTTGAGGAGTGTTGTATCCACAGGGTTCAAACGGAAAGCTGGTTCAATCACCTCGTTCACAAGGACGCACTCGAGCACTGAGAGGTCCAGAGAACAACAAGACTTAAGGAGTAGAAGCATGACACTGTAGGTGAACTCCAAAGATACTTTCTCCATGTGCTTGGATAACTTCATCTTCTTCCAGACGATAGGCATTATCTCTTCCAACTTTTCTTGCGTAAGAAAGTTCAATTCGTGCTGTTTAATCATTGCCTGAAGACCAGTAGTGACAATAGTAGAAGCCAGTAAGTGATCTCCAGTCTGTTTTAACACATGTGCGAAGGAAGGGATAATATTGTACTCTTTTTCCATAGCTTCAAGCTGGCCCAGACGGTCGGCACAAATCGTATCACGGAGGATCTTTATGTTCATCATTAAAACCAAATTTCGGCCTTCCATATCTGCACATGAAAGACCTCGGCGGCCACATTCGTCTACATGATTTGCGAAAGCAAGACGGTTTATGCACTTGGCAGAGAAGAAAGTAGCCTGCTCTAGAAGCTGTGAGGTATTTTCAAAATCATCAAGAATTCTAGCGATCACCCTTGACACCAAATAAAAAGAGAACGGATATTTATGACCGAACGATATCAAATTGGAGACGAGCCTATTTTCAGGACTTGAAAACAGATCTTTGAGTTCATCGGATTTTGAATCTTCTTCAATGACCAATTCGAAAGCAGTCAAACAGAATTCAGCATAGAAAGGACCATCCCCTACTCTCCGGAACAGCATATCACTTTTCAAGAAAGCCTCCATCAAATGAAGCAGCACTATTCTATCTTTCTTGGGTAAAGTAGAAGGTCCCACATCATTCTGTAGTAATATAAAGTAAGTTATTGCATTTCTAATCACATTGCAGGGATCCGACTTAGAATCGCTTGCTACACGTTGTATACCTCTCGTGCCGGCCTGCGCGAGCTCAAAAGGGGTTACAGCGTGTGTCAAAGAATCGCTCAATGAGCAGAGGTTGGGAGTATTTTGCGGAAATGTGTCCAAAAAGAGGACCAGTCTTTCCATGATTGTGGAGCTGAGAATTAGTTTCAAGTATGTTTCCTGTGTAGAACAACTTTCTGTTACAGCTAAGGAGGAGAGTGTGCGAGCTATCAGTTGTAGAGCATCCGATTCCACCGCCTGTCTGCAAATCTGATGGAAAGCTTCTTGACCTCCATCAGAAGAAACCAGCCAGCTTACCGTTTCTGAAATAATTAAAACATTAATTTAAAGTTAGGACCATTATCTTGTAACAGGGGCCCGGGCCAGGGTGAAATGTAGGGGCAAAAAAGCAAACCAAATTTAATATGATCCTGATTTTATCAAGAATATAAAATAACAAGTACGCTAGTAAAGACGAATTCAGAAAGTTAAAGAGTTTAAATTGCGAATATTATAGTATTTGTACCTTTCAGCAGATTATCTTCTTTATTGATAAGAGCCAGTAGTTGTGTACAGAGTCTAGTCGCTTCTTCCTTCTCTATTGAACCCTTTAGTCGTATCAGTATCTTCTTTACCGGCTCCATCGTTCACTAACGTATTCTGTGTAAAATTATATTTATCCCGGTTACTGCGACAAGTAAAAATGCTCTTATTAGGGAAAAGGAGTTTACTCGACCTTTCAATGTAACTACATCGTATTCATGATTAGATCTAAAAACAAGTGTTACAAATTCAAAACGTAAAAAACATATATCTGAGGCGAAATTTGTGTACATTAATTCTTTAATTTATTTTAATTAATCAACTTTATCCAAAAATGCGATACAAAATTCATAACAAAATTAGTTTATACGACGACAAACTTTTATAGTAAATACCGTACAGTCCTAAAACTACTACAAGACAAAATATACTACACATGATTCATAAGCATGGAATGCTACAACGGTGAACAAGTGCATGATGTGAAGTGTGTAGGAATGTATCTAGTGTGGAGTGAAAATGGTGGGAATGGTACTGACCAATGAGAAGTACGAAACGTGGGAGCCAAATATGGTTTGATTGAGGTAAAGGGTTAGTGTGTTGAATGTGAGGCGTAAGTGTGCGTGTGTGAGATGTGGTCCCTGTACTCAGAAAGTAAACAAAACCTATAAATATCACTAAATATTATCACTACATGTGTAGACGATCCCTGTCTGTAAAGTATAAAATATGTTACATTCCTTACAGTAGAACACTGGTTAGAAGTGTAACTTATTTTACTATTTTCTACTTACTAATGAAACTTATAACTCATGAAGACAAACGATTACGTAAGAAAGAAAGTCACAATATTCTGAATAAATTGCAAATATCAACGGAGTCCTCAAGTGGAGAAACGACATCAAAACATACAGAAATTAGCAATGAAAACAGTTATCAAACTACCAGTTATAACGCAGTCAAACCTTCAAGAAATGTGAACCCTTATTAGCAACTAGCTAATCTCGTGATAGTAATTACACGACGAGTACAAGTACATGTACACGAAATGTACGAAATAAGAGAAGATAATATATTCTCAGCCTCACAACTAATTGGCTCGACCCCATTGTTAATCATGATATGATTAGCTTTAATGACAAGCTTGAGGAAAAGGCATCTTACACAATGTTGAGGCTAAGTGACGTATTAGTCGCGATGTAGAATCGAAACATAACAAGTTTCCTTACTAAATTAAGCTAAATCAAGATGAAATCAACAAACGGAATAGTAAATCACTTCCCCAAAATATGGAATAAAACTAGTTAAAATGTTAATGTAAAATGCTAATGAACTCCTTTACATTTGCCACAATCTTCTCGTTACTCTGTTTCTTCAGAAGCCACATTGCTGGGGAGACCATGTCTTCAAGAACGTACATCTCCTCATCTAGTGAACTAGATCTAGCAATCTCCGCCATACACTTGGTCATGTTTTGTAGATAGTTCAATTTGTGAGGGGGTTCTCTTTCAAGGGTCTCAATGATAATGTCAGAAATAAATTTGAAGATCTTGGCGAGTTCAGTTTTTCCTGGAGCAGCATATTCAACTGTTTTATTAGAGGACATCTTGCTAAGCTCGTTGAAGACCAGTTTGTACTTCAAGGGATATCTGGTCATTAGCCAGAGCACTTTAAGAAGGGGTGGATCAAAACAAATAGCCACTCCAATCACATCGTTAACAAGCATGTGTTCTAGTCTTGATACGTCCAGATTGTGGGACTCTGGGAACACAATTATACTGTTCATGAATATTAAAAAATAATCCATCATGCTTTTGTGCTTCTCCATCTTCCCCCAGATAATTGGGAGGATGTTTCCTATCTTTTCTAGAGTAAGGAAGTTTAACTTATGCTCACGAATCATAATTATGAATGTGTAGATAATGACACCGATCAAGTCATGATGGTCAGTACACTGCAAGCCGTGTAATAAAGAGTCCACAGTTTTGAACTTTTTGTCCATATCTTGAAGTTCATCCAAAGTGCCGGCACTGATGATGACTTGAAGTGTCTCGAGGCTTTTATGAAAAGCACATTTCTGACTCGAAAAACCCCTTGAGTAAAAGGTCATGCTGCTAAAATATTTCTCCTGTGTGACAACAAAATGATTTATGTGCGAGGCAGTGAAAGTCATCACCATTTCTAAAAGATGTGAAGTTTTCTCAAAATTCTGCAGAATTTTCGAAACAATATTTGACGTTGACGAGAGGTAAGATGGATTTCTTTTACTGAACGCCAGCAGTGTCGAAATAATCTCATTTTCGGGACTGGAGAGGAGATCTCTTAGCTCGTCAGATTTTGCGTCAGCTTTAATAATCGAATAGATAGAACTTAAACATGAACTAGCATGTTCTGGTTTTATTCCAAGTGAGTCCAAGTGAGTTTTCTTAGTGTACGCACCGAACTGAAAGATCGATCCCGCTTTGAACACTATTTCACTTTTCAAGAAGTCTATTATCAAATGAAGCAGTGCAATTCTATCCATCTTGGGTAAACTAGAAGTCGTCACTTGACCCTGCAGTTCTATAAAGCTAGTTATTGCATTTGTTATCAAACAGCAGGGATCCGACTTAGAATGGCTAGATGAGCTGGGTTTGGGAGTGTTTTGCGGTAATTTTTCCAAAAAGAGGACCAGTCTTTTCATAATTCTGGAGCTGAGAATTAGTTTCAAGTATTTTGCGGTCATAGAACATCTTGTGACTAAGGAGGAGAGAGTGTCAGCTATCAGTTGTAGAGCATCCAATTCCACCGCCTGTCTGCAAATCTGATGGAATGCTTCTGGACCTCCATCAGCAGAAACCAGCCAGCTTACCGTTTCTGAAATAATTTAAACTTTAATTTAAAATTAGGACCATTATCTTCGCAATATTTTCAAGACATGTAACAGGGGCCCGGGCCAGGGTGAAATATAAGGGCAAAACAGCAAACCAAATTTAATTTAAACCCGATTTTATCAAGAATCTAAAATAATAAGTACGCTAGTAAAGACGAATTCAGAAAGTTAAAGAGTTTAAATTGCGAATATTATAGTATTTGTACCTTTAACCAGCTTCTCGTCTTTATTGATAAGAGCCAGTAGTTGTGTACAGAGTCTAGTCGCTTCTCCCTTCTCTATTGGACCCTTTAGTCGTATCAGTATCTTCTTTACGGGCTCCATCATTCACTAACAGTAGAACACTAATTAGAAGTGTAACTCATTTCACTATTTTCTACTTACTAATGAAACTTATAACTCATAACGACAAACGATTACGTAAGAAAGAAAGTCACAATATTCTGAATAAATTGCAAATATCAACGGAGTCCTCAAATGGAGAAACGACATCAAAACATACAGAAATTAGCAATGAAAACAGTTATCAAACTACCAGTTATAACGCAGTCAAACCTTCAAGAAATGCGAACCCTTATTAGCAACTAGAGCCTCGCGTGGCTGCACTACACGACATGTACTTTGAAATAAGAGAAGATATATTCTCAGCCTCACAACTAATTAGTAATTGGCTCGACCCCATTGTTATTTGTTAATCATGATATGATTAAGTGTATACTAATTAAGTGTATACACTAATTATTATAGTGTCCACTGAACACTTTCTAACGGCGATCTGACAAGCAAAGGGGCGCACAACAAGGACAAGTTCCAACGAGGACAAGTTCCAACGAGGACAAGTTCCAACGAGGACAAGTTCCAACGAGGACAAGTTCCAACAAGGACAAGTTCCAACGAGGACAAGTTCCAACAAGGACAAGTTCCAACGAGGACAAGTTCCGACGAGGACAAGTTCCAACGAGGACAAGTTCCAACGAGGACAAGTTCCGACGAGGACAAGTTCCAACGAGGACAAGTTCCAACAAGGACAAGTTCCAACAAGGACAAGTTCCAACGAGGACAAGTTCCAACGAGGACAAGTTCCAACAAGGACAAGTTCCAACGAGGACAAGTTCCGACGAGGACAAGTTCCAACGAGGACAAGTTCCGACCTAATATCCAATAACCAATCAACCGAACCTTCGCACTATTTGAAAACTTTGAGCCAATCCCAGATAACTCACAGCAGCCTGTATTTCCAGCTTAAAGCCAGTACTAAGTACCGTTGAAGGGTCATGTTGCCAAGCAACGCAGAATTACTAATTAATAAGTGGCAGACAGCACTGTCCAGTGTATACTGTGTGTAATAGCCGGACAGTGCTGTAAGCTGAGTAGAGATAAGATAACAGAGCAAGAAACAAGCGGCACGGGTAATACCCTGCTACTAGATAATAATTAATTATATATATTATCTGCTCAACTGACTGATCCTGCTTAAAGCCGTATTATATACAGGGTGTTTCAATTACATATTACACTAAGATGTACACACTGTTGAAAGTATTAAAACTTTCAACATTATTATATAACAAATAATTTGAGCCTCAAGATGGCGTTGACGCCGAAAATTTGCCTTCATTCTTTACTTCCTATTTCATTTGTCCTTGTCTCTTCCAACTGGATATTATCCAACTATCAATATTTCAACCATGGTAACGTTACAATTTGTCTTAATACAACCCCCTCAGTGCCTGACAGTGTTACACAGTCACGTAACCATGGTAACGTTACAATTTGTCTGAATACAACCCCCCTCAGTGCCTGACAGTGTTACACAGTCACGTAACCATGGTAACGTTACAATTTGTCTTAATACAACCCCCCTCAGTGCCTGACAGTGTTACACAGTCACGTGACAGTAGAAGGAGAGGAGGGACCAGTCACTCCCACATGTGTTAATCTACTCGTCCTAGCTCTACTGGTAATGTTACATATTTAACATAATTAGCAATATAATTTATTGTAATCATTATAATGATTAGCAATATGTGTGTGTGATTAAGCTCGCCTTTTTATTTGGATTTGAATCATCTCGTGGGATATTTCCATATTTATGAATGTTGTAAGGACTTGGCTAAATAAACAAGGCTATCTTTATTTGCTCTCGATTTCCTATTCCAAAGTATAATGAACGTCGCTATATCCGTTATCTTCACCGAAACACTACGTTAAAGCAATTGTCATGGTGATAAATCCTTATCGTCCCTATCAGCCTGGGAAACAAAGATAAAGTTATATTAACGGCACAAATCCTTTCTCCTTCCGTCATCTGATTGGCAGTGCTGTAGTCACGTGGTTTGTCACGTGGGCTTATTCAAAGTGCGCGTACAAGTACAGTCATTGACCAATCATGTGCCGTCAACGTAATTCCTCTGTTGTCATAGGCTGGTCCGTTACCATGGGCGTTACTACCCTCCACAATACTTAGAGACTACAGGGTTCAATGTTTACCCGCGCTTTTTTATTGACTTTTTCGCCTTGTACTTGTATTTCGAGGGGACATTGCCCTGGCAGAAGTCGGCAATGTATCGATACTTATGGGCCATTCGCTGTGGACTAAGGTCTAACAGGTAAGATTATTGCCTTTATTCCAGTCTTTCCTGATCATATCATTTTAATTGTAGTTTTAATCATTGTAACAAATCATCAGAATTTATATAATGTGTATCAAAAGAATTGTGAATAAGTTGGTACAAAATATCTCACAAGACATTGAAATTCTATTGTTTACAGTATAGTAATACTTGTTGTTCTCACAAGACATTGAAATTCTATTGTTTACAGTAATACTTGTTGTTCTCACAAGACATTGAAATTCCATTTTTTACAGTAATACTTGTTGTTCAATAGTCCCGCAACATTCCCAAAACTTCGAACTAAACTTGATTTGAAGCTCAGGATTTCCATTGTATGGGTATTTAAGCGAGTTCCGAGTGTCTTCTCGTTCCATTGATACTGCATTATACTGTTCCATTTGTTTATCATTCCTACTCGTAGTTTACCACTCTGTACAATTCCTGTTGTAGTTCTGGATAGGACAGTGTACTTCATTTGTAGTAGTGGTATTAGCTGACCAAGTTTTCAGTCTCTCCTTGTAAACCGCATTTTGTAGTGTGTGTATAGTGTATAGTGTATACTCTGTAGTGTGTGTATAGTGTATAGTGTATACTCTGTAGTGTGTGTATAGTGTATACTTCACAAGTTCACACTCTAGGCGAGAGTGCTTCATCTGAAGATTTGATGTTTAATTCCTGTTTAATTCTATTCTCGCTTCAGCCAAGAGGAAGTTTTCAGTATAATCCAAATGGTAGTACTGGGCAGAGAAAAGTACATAGTAGTACATAGTAGTAGAAGTGCAACTAGTAGTAGAAGTGCTATTCTCATTAATACTAGAAACCTTGACACAGAGCTAGATCAGGTATTATAACCTTAACAATTAAATGGAGATGTGATCCTTAGCTTAGGAGGAGGAAGCCGGAGACTCTCGATTAAAGTTTTCAAGTTTTGATTCTTGCGGAGTGAAGGATGATTGCGGAGGGTAACATGCTTGAGAGGGGTATGTCTCTTGCGAAGAGTAGGAAGGCGTGTAAGGATGATTGCGGAGGAGGTTATTATCCGTTGGCTCGTGGTACTGTGTGGTGTCCTCCTTCTTCATGAACACTACAGTGAGTACCAGAGCAGCTGAACAATGAATAACCAGGGTGATGTACCCGTATGTCTTGGAGTGGTTAGACTTGATGAGATCACCAGAAGTAGCACAGAACATAGCCCACCAGCCCACTCCCCCTAAAGTTAAGTGTATGATAAGTGAGCCGAGGAAGGTCACCAGTAACATAGACCCAGAAGCCCCTGTCTTCACGTAGTTGAAGATAGTGAGGATACAGGAAACAAGCAGCAGCTCTAGCCAGCTCCCCAGACCTCCTCTCTCGCACAGAAAGTCCGCCCCGTCCGAGATAACATTGGCACAGTTCCAAACTGTGTACTGAAAACAAACCCCCAGTAGGATTACATCTGGATCCGGGACACTGTCTCCCGACGTGTGTGCTTCTGTTTGCTTGCTTAAGAAGTTGACCACAATCACGAGTGATGCTGATGCCATTACCGGTGTTGTAAAATAAGTGTAGTTTTTGGAGGATAGCAGTTCACTGCAACTAAGGGCTAGGTATCCGAGGTTGTTCCCGCTGACGTTGAGAATAAAGGACCCCACAAACGCTAGCACTCCCTGAGCGGTTCTGTTGCCTTCACTTTTACAGGCGGTCAAGATAGCTACCCCAGCCGACAGAGCAATGAGCAGGAACCAGGGCACTCCGTCGTTCTTGCAGACCCACGAGCCATCTACTATAGAGATTATCTTGGATAAAGCGAGCTCCGCAAAGAACCCTGCTAAAATCAAGGAACTGGGTAGGATCTGGTTTGACATGCTGGTCCTGAACAGTGTTATGTTACCATGGTTACGTGACTGTGTAACACTGAACAGTGTTATGTTTAAACTGCTAGAGACTTTACTATTTAAAAGATATATTACATAAGTGTTTAGCGAGTTCTTCTAAGACAGTAGAAATCAGGAGAATTGAGACTATTTAGCAATAATAAATGTAAAACTGGTGGGGTTCTAGAAACATATGAAAAGCATTAATATGAGTGATACTGTAATACTACGTGATGTAGACGTTTAGCACGTATCCTGGGAAATATGTAAAGAATGCCAGCCATTTCTCAACATCTGGAGACGCGTGTTACCCTCCGCAATCATCCTGGAGATGATATTAACAATTTGCTCGCTGTGACGCAGTGAAAATAGTTAACCCGACCAAAAAATATCAACATGCTGGATAAAAATCAAGATTTAAGCAGCACACAACTCTCCTGGTTGCTATGGGAACACAAGTACGATATAGCAACTAAGTCACATTGGTGCGGACGTTGCTGTTTTTAACTGTTTTTAACCAGCACAGAACTGGAAGAGGTTACTGACCGGTGGGAACACTACGGGAACTCTCCTGGATTGGTATTGGGACAGTGTGGGAACTCTCCTGGTTGCTATGGGAACATGCCCGGTCCTTACTCTGCTTGGCAGCTACGTCACGGAGTCGGCACACAGTTAACCCAGCACACTTATTTAGTTCAGATTTTATAAGTTTACAAGAAGTCTAGATCCCAACTCAACATGTAGTTTGACACGACATCCCGGTTGCTATGGAAACAGTTTGACAAGATGTCAGACTAAAGATTATAGTTGTTACGTTAGCAAAGTGTGAGATTAACTAACAAGTCGTATAATTAGTTGCTAGACTTGATTTCCTTCAAGTAACACACAATATCCTGCTTTCAACAGCCAATAACCTCTCGACTGGCTCGAAGGGTCCAAGGGTTAACGACCGGCCCATTTTTGGAATCCTTTTTGGTCCAGGTCAAAACTAGTTACCATAGTTACACTACTAGTTACCATAGTTACACTACTAGTTACCATAGTCAAAACGTGTCTATTAGGGCGAAGTTGTGGTATTTGAGTGCAGTTGATTGGCCACCCTGTTGACTGATTGGGTACCCTTGTTGAATGTGTGGGAACTATATCTAATTGGGAGAAGTTGTTACCCTCCTCCCCCCTCCTGTGTTACGGCCCCTTGAAGTTACAGGAGATCTGTCTTCTAACTGCTACATACTACATACAACTATACTGAGCAAATGAAAAACTTTCAAAGTTTAAATCCGTGACACTGTAATGAGACAAATAATTTGTCGTACGTAAATTTGTATGTAAATATTAAAAGTATCCTGAAAGAGCTAACAATAGGTAACAGAACACAACAACATGAAGAAGACACATTGTAAAATATGCGTCGTAGTACAACTACCTGAATATGTTTAGGCTAATTGTTCAAGTAATAGTACTGGAGTTTATTTAACCAAGTAACCTAGCAACTGTAACCTAGTAACTGTAACCTAGCAACTGTAACCTAGTAACCAAGTATTGTTCTTCAGGACGGTAGATTAGTCTTCATTGATCCTGTGGTTAAAGGACTGAAATATCATGCGATATCTGTGCACAGGGACCCAGTGAGTATTCATTGTAGAGAACATCTTTAACATCGTTTATTTGAAAACAAAATCTTTCTATAATGTGTGTTATATAATATGTAAGTTAACACTGTTCATATCAAGCTACCAGATATAAACACTGTTTATATCAAGTTACCAGATATAAACACTGTTTATATCAAGTAACCAGATATAAACACTGTTTATATCAAGTAACCAGATATAAACACTGTTAATATCAAGTTACCAGATATAAACACTGTTCATATCAAGTTACCAGATATAAACACTGTTCATATCAAGTTACCAGATATAAACACTGTTCATATCAAGTTACCAGATATAAACACTGTTTATATCAAGTAACCAGATATAAACACTGTTCATATCAAGTTACCAGATATAAACACTGTTTATGTCAAGTTACCAGATATAAACACTGTTCATATCAAGTAACCAGATATAAACACTGTTCATATCAAGTTACCAGATATAAACACTGTTCATATCAAGTTACCAGATATAAACACTGTTTATATCAAGTTACCAGATATACGCTGTTGAAGAGCACGGGGACAAGTTGCTGGTTACCACGCTCTCCCACGTGACCACTCTAACCTTCCTCTCTCTGCCTCATCTCATCACTCTGGGAAAGGTGTGTTTATTGTTACTATACGTTACTATGCGTTACTATGCGTTACTATGCGTTACTATGCGTTACTATGCGTTACTATGCGTTACTATGTGTTACTATGCGTTACTATGCGTTACTATGTGTTACTATGCGTTACTATGCGTTACTATGCGTTACTATGCGTTACTATGTGTTACTATGCGTTACTATGTGTTACTATGCGTTACTATGTGTTACTATGTGTTACTATGTGTTACTATCCGTTACTATCCGTTACTATGTGTTACTATGCGTTACTATGTGTTACTATGCGTTACTATGCGTTACTATGTGTTACTATCCGTTACTATGCGTTACTATGTGTTACTATCCGTTACTATCCGTTACTATGTGTTACTATGCGTTACTATGTGTTACTATGCGTTACTATGTGTTACTATGCGTTACTATGCGTTACTATGTGTTACTATCCGTTACTATCCGTTACTATGTGTTACTATGCGTTACTATGCGTTACTATGAGTTACTATGTGTTACTATGCGTTATTATGTGTTACTATGCGTTACTATGCGTTACTTTGTGTTGCTATGCGTAACTATGCGTTACTATGCGTTACTATGTGTTTGCTATGCGTAACTATGCGTTACTATGTGTTACTATACGTTACTATGCGTTACTATACGTTACTATACAACACTACTTCAAGTATAATATAGGGGGGGGGGGGGGTCAACCTCATTTTACCTCATGAGGCCAGCCAAAAAAGGCAAAATTGGGATGAGGTAAAATGAGGTAAATAAATCTAGTTTTCTAAGCCTTTTTTTTAGAGACAAAAAAGGTTTATTCGAAGTCATTATACTATAATTCGAGGCTGTGCATGGTCTCCCATGATATTTAATGGTTTATTAGGTTTGATGTGGTCCCTGGGCCTGGAAAATTGAACATTTCAATTTCCATGATCCATTAGGAAATTGTTAATAGCACTTGCTAAGTTTTGTAAAGGAATTAGCAATAACTTTAGTGTCACTTTGGCAGTTGCCAATTTATTGGGATATTTCCGCATGACATGGACCATTTAAATAATATCTTAAATTGATATTGCGATTATCGAGTCACTCTGAAACAAATTGTGTCTAACTAGACCAAATGTAAACAACAGTTGTGCATGGAACTGGATTGGATATCTACATGAATTTAGTCGAAATTGCATAGTGAAACTTTCACTATGCAATTTCGACTAAATTCATGTAGATTTCACTGTGAAAGGTCATTTCATAATAAATTTCTCATATAAACTCATAGATGGACCGTATGGGTAACGCCAGCGGCGGAGAGACGACAACATCGCCCTCCGTAATGTTTACCTCAGCTACAGGACGATCCCTGTTTGCTACACTCCTCATCAGCTTCGCCACCTTTAACATACGTGGCCTCGGTTCTTGTGATGATCCAGACGACATCCACAGCAAACGGGAGCAACTGGGTACCGATTGTCTACGGTACGGCATAGATATCTGCGCTATTCAGGAGACTAAGGTTGTAAAACCGGATTCTTGCAGTCTTAGCAACGGATACAAACTCTTATTGTTTGAGCAGAAAAATGGCCGGCACTATGGACTCGGTTTTGTTATCAGTCCCCGATTTATTGACTATGTGGTATGCTGGAACAGTATCAGTGATCGAGTAAGCTTTTTGGACCTAGAACTCCCTACAAAATCAGGAAAATTTATCAAATGTAGGGTGGTCAATGTATATGGGCCACACAAGAAACTTGCAGAAAATGATCAACAACTGTTGATTAATTTCTACGGCCAAGTTAGGGACGCTCTAAATGTCCCTGCTAATGTTGAGATATTTGTTTTGGGGGATTTTAATTCAAAGTTGGGAAAAATGACTACTTCAGATAAAGACTTTGGTTTTGGTCGTTTCATGGGTAAACATGGTATGGGTTTGCGCAACGATATGGGGGAAAACTTGTTAGACTTGTTATCATAATTTGACCTCTTTGCCTCCAACACTGGTTTTTATCATCCTGCTCGACATACGACCACCTACACTGGCTGGAGGAAGGACTGGAGTGCCGGGCGAAATAGTAAAAAGACGATCCCGGTCTATTCTCAGATCGATTTCATCCTGTGTCGGAGTAGGTCGAAGCCAATGCTACAAGATTCTAGATCTTATGCAGGCACTTTGACATACTCTGATCACAGATTTGTTGTCACTAGAGTAGACTTTAAGGACATCTGTCTTTGCTATAAACGCCACTCCAAGTCATCCTTAAAGTTCAACACCTCTGAACTCACCTCGAACCCCACCATTCAGGTGAAATATCGTCAATCCTTAGATGATAACTTAAGTAACACTGTTTCTGCTCTGGATCCAAATTCAGACTTGAATGGCTTACTTGAGTCCATAAAGGATGCTGCAAAATCGTCAATTGGTGTCATCAGACACAGGAAACGTAATCGCAGCGACGATGATGAGGTGAAAAACTTATCTAGCCAGCGTTACTTGTTGAGACAGCAGCTTAATGATAACCAGTCTTTAGACAGAACCTCACTTAGATCATCTATTAACTGCCTCACCAATCAGATCAAGCAGAGACTTTCTAACATACGATCAGCTGCTGCTGATGCTATCTGTAATACCATCAGTTCAACAACAGATAGTAAGAAAATGTTTGAAGCTGTTCGAACCCTGAACTTACCTAAAGCCCCTTCTAGTATTGGTGTTCATGATGAGAAAGGGTGCAATATTGCAACAGACACTGGTAAAGCTGCCGTAGTTGCTAAGTACCTTGAGCAACAACTTACTCGTGATGAAGCACCTTTAGAACCTTTTGTAGGACCTCCTCGCCCACTAGTTAAGCCATTCACTAGTGAAGAAATCGGATCAGCTGCCAGAAGTCTCAAAAATGGTCGAGCTAACGGCCCAGATGGAATTCCTAACGAGCTTCTCAAGTATTCTACTGGATCAGTACACAGACGTTTTGCAGACATTATCAATAGAAGCTTCGAGACCAATTCCTACCTTGACCCCATTGGACAGGCAAACATTACCCCCTTACAGAAGCCAAATAAGCCCATTGGTCCAGTGAAGAATCTACGACCCCTCACTCTCTCAAATGCTGTTAGAAAGATTCTTTCAATGGCAACCTTAAAGAGAATTGAGAATAAAGTCAATGCCTTCACTGGTCCATGGCAATGTGCTTACAAGCAGGGTAGATCATGTGCTGACATTGTATGGTGCCAGCGTGTGATGTTATCAGTTGTCCAGAGGAAGAGGTGGGAATACCATCGTATGGGGATCGATATGTCTAGTGCCTTTGACACTATACGACGATCTACCATCCTCGATCTTCTTGTTGAGTGTGGCTGTGATGATGACGAAGTCCGTTTGGTAAGAATTTTGCTTTCCAACACCAAGCTCAAAGTCAACATCAACGGTACACTGTCTGCTGAATTCCAGAGTTTTCTCGGTGCATTCCAAGGTGACTGTCTGTCTGGATGCTTGTTCACACTTGTCTTAGCGGGTGCCTTGCGTGACCTCCGTAACAGGCTTGAAACTGCAATGAATAGGCCTAACCCACCTATCACCGATATCGGTCTTCCACTTGACAGTGAGTATGCTGATGATATCGACTTCAATGATGAAGATGAGGACAATTTGAGGGAGCTGTTGCCTATTGCAACAGAAGTCCTTAAAGATTGGAATCTCTTCGTTAACGAAGACAAAACTGATTTCACTCATGTGTACTTAGCTGAAAAGGGAGCTAAAGACGATCAGGGTAAGCCAATTGCGGGGAACGAGCTCTGGAGAAAGAGTATCACGCTTGGCTCCATGCTTTGTAGTAAGGAGGACATCTCTAGAAGGATATGTCTGGGATATGCCGCGTTTAACAAATACAAGAAAGCTTGGAACCATAAGATCCCTCTGAGCAAGAGGCTTCTGTTGTATGAGGCTCTGGTAGTATCCGTTTTAATGTACAATTCATCTTGCTGGGCTGCCCCTAAATCAGTATTGGAAAAACTAGATATTGCTCACAGACGTCATCTGCGATCAATTTTGAATTACAAATACCCTCACATCATTTCCAACAAGAACTTGTATAAACGCTGCAATAGCGAACCATTGTCAGCTAAAGTGGCTCGTAGTCGGTGGAGGATGCTCGGACATGTACTGCGTGGGCCTACAGATGGTCCAGCCTATTCGTCGCTTGTTTTTGCTGTTAACACCTTACAGCTTCAAGGGCGGCGTGGAAGACCGCAGTCAAACCTTTTCTCACTGATTCTACACGACCTTAGTGTTCGAAAATTATCGTTAAATAATTTATGTGATTTAAACTATTTAACTTTAATCGCTCAAAATAGAGTTAAATGGAGAAGTATGCAAATTGCATGACTTTTGTGTGAGAAAGATTAGGGGACAGAAATGTTTACTTTGTTTACTATCTGTTTCTTAGAGCTTTTGTTTATATATAAACTCATACTTCATACAATTCTAAGTTCTTATGTACATGTTCAATGTTCATGATTCGCTGTAGAATATAGGGCGGTTCAAAAAACCACTTTTCGTTCAAATAATTAGATATCACCTCTAATTAGTTGCTCTATAGGGTCAGGAACAACCAAAAAAATTTTTGTGTCTTTACGGTTTCGTATAATACTGACTTGGGCCACGCCCATATTTTTCACCAATTTTTGAACAGGTAAAATTCTCTAAATCGTCAATTTAGTCACGAAGGAGTATGGGAGGAGATCTAAATGTGTGCTCCTCTAATATATACAGTAAGAAATGATTAACTTTAGTCGAGGTTTCAGGTCTCTACAATGTCGGGAAGTTCCTGCAGGAATTTTCGCATTGCGCTGAAGCGCAAAATCTTCTTGGAACAAGGGAATTAATGAGGTCTTCATTTATTTGGGAAGTTGGTCGTTTAGCTCCGGACAGTCTATGCACGGTCCATGCAACAACAAGAGAACACTCCATGCA